TGACCCCATCAAGCCAGCGCCTTATCCACTCAACAATATGAACGTAATGACCCCATTCTGCTTCAAAGACTGGGTAGAAAAGCAGAAGCCTGCACTGGCCAGTGGACGACCTGTGGACATGTTTGGAGCCCAGTTTGAGACTGAGGTACGGAGGCAGTGTGTAATGTGTGCATGCTTTTCTGCTTTGGATGGGACTGACCAAACGTAGTACATCTGAGGGTGAACCAATCAGGCTTCGTTCTCCAAAGTGAGCCATTCAGGGCAGTTTAAACTCATGTGATCAATCAGGAAGTCTAGACAGAAGATTGTGCTGAGCTGGGTATTAATACAAACGTGGCAGAGGGAGACAGAGCCTGTCTGGGAAGTTCTTTCAGGGAACAACGTTGGCACATGGCTTTCAATTCATTAGTAGCCTCATTTGTTCAGGTCTAAACTTCTCAGCTGTTCCTTCAGATGCCTGGCACACATTACAGAATAATCGGGCCAATATTCCCATTCACTCCTTCTGATAATTACAAATAGTGTGCCAATTTCAGGCATGTCAAATGATTATCCTCCCAGATTATCCTGTGGTGTGGGTGTCTATAATCCAGTCTTGACCTCTCTGATCTACTCTAGAGGTCTGGTAACAGACCTGAACTCAACAAGGCCTGACAAAATATTGGGTTTTGGGCCAGATTCAGGCCAATATGTCTTATACAACATCGGGTTTGTTTTCTAATGAGTGATTTTTTTACGTAGTAGGTTTTTTTTTTATTTGAAGGAATATGCCTTAATAAATGTTCATGCACTCTCATGCACTTTCTCTCCCATACATGCTGACGTTGTAGTCTATAGCTGCATTCGGAATAGCTCCAGAGTGTGAGAAGTGAGCGAACGAGCCCCTGAATGGAACTGGGGATAAAGTTCAACAGTACATCAGTCTCACTTCCAGCATGGATGATGAGAGGGATGTGTTGGGTTGGTGAAATGTCACAGCTGGTCTTTCTCCTTGCTCGTTAAATTCCTTTTGAAGCGTGTTAAGCATTTTTGCAAGTAGCATCGGTAATGAGAGGAACTTTAGCACAGCAGGGCTAACAGTTGATCAGAGGAAAAGAGGATGCTGTTCCCTGGCAATTCCAGCAAAATGTGAAGTATATGATAAAAAGATACTGTTAGTGGATTACAAAGGAGTAAAATAACACTTTATCCTAATATGATTTATTCTTTTGTTCAACTCAAGTGTTTAGTGACAAAGCAAAGCACTGTAAAACTGTATCTGATAATGACTATGTGATAATTCATCTCACCTCTGTGAGAGGGCGCGAGCAGGTTCAGCTCAGGTTTGGGTTTCAAATAGCAGTACCAGTCAGGCTGGGTCAGGTTGGGTCTCAAAGTCACAATAGGCGTCTGGTTTGTGCTTTAATTTCTTACACATGCAGACCTCTAATCTACTCACACTCCAGTCTCGATCACCCTGATTTAGAATTGTAGAAGTGTTTGTTAATGTTCAGTATTTACAACTTAAAATCCTGTAGTGTGGGGGGAGGGGGGATTCTGTTTCAAATGATAAGCAGTGTTGACTTCATGAAAGACTGAACAGAATTCCACAATGCTGATAAGTTTTATCCTAGGTGTGTTAAGGTGAATGTTAACATAACATAGCAAACGCCATAGATGTGCTCGAAATTCTCATTATTTTAGCAGCGGAATCTCGTCTAACTCTAATTCTAACTCTTTCAAATGATATGCAGTGTTAACTGTATGAAAGACTGAACAGAAGACTGAACAGAATTCCACTGCTATAATAATGCCAATTCTGAGCACCTCTATGGCATTTTCTCACTAACACACCTAGGATAAAACTTATCAGCATTGTAACCCCCACCTCTAAAAAGTTTTCTTTCTTTTGCTTTTCCGCTGCAAAATGCACGTATAACTACATCAGCAATCTGTGTCTCAATGTTGTTACAAAGTCTCAGGAAAGTGTTGCCTTCTGATCCAATTTGCCACCTGCATGGTTGCAGGTCTCTTACACCAGCTCAGACTCTGAAAGCTCTTATAAATTGGATGAGAAGGAGGTTTGACATTCTTAGAACAAGGGGTCATCAATTCCAGTCCTGGAGGACCAACACCTACTAAACCTCATAATTAACTGTTAACTCAGGTATGTTAAGGCAGAGAAATATCCAAACTGTGCAGGACATCAGCCCTCCAGGACCAGAACTGATGACCTTCGTTTTAGAAAACATTACAATATAAACAATAAAATCATCCATCATTCTGTTTCAGACTATTCTCTATGGTCCAGGAGAGACCGAGCCTTCCAAAAGAACCACTGATGGCTGGATCTGGCAGCTGGTATCTTTCTGAAACTCACTCTGCATCCCTCCATGACACCTCTGTGTATTTTTTAGGTTCAGTGTTGAAGTTTTATTTTTGTTTGGACAGTGCTTTAACATTTTATTTCCTCCTCTGCCCTTCACTGTAGGAGGGGTCCTCGAGTGTCACTATGAATGGCCAAGAGTACAATCTCTCAGTGGGAGACTGTCTTCTAATACTTGGACAGACTGAGTAAGTGGGTGTTGTAAAGTGTGGTTAGCAATGACGCTTTTTGAAAGACGTCAATTCTGTGCTGCAGGAAGTTTATATAACACAAGTGTGTATGTGTGTGTGTTCCTTAGGTATCGCTGGAAGAGGCCAAAGGATTGTGTTGCTTTATATGTTGCTCAGAATCCAGAGAGGAAGAGGCCTTACTAAATAGTGGCAGGAGAACTTTCACTAATGATCTCCCTCAGCTTTAAATCTCTCTGACTACATTCCCTATAAATAGCGTGGACTTTAATTACAGTGGAAGAAAAATGTGTTTTATTTGAAAGTGGCTGTATTCCTGAAGGTGTGTGTCAGCAATTTGTTTGAACCAACTGCTTTAGTCCTTGTAAGACAGTGTTGTAGGAGAATTGGAGATCAATGCTGGATCAACTTCAGGTTACTGTATGGATCAAGAGAGCTTATTCTAACATTAGCACTCAAAGAAGCAGAAAATCAAATGTACTAATATTAATGTCATTTAAGCAGGTGAAGAAAAAACTGTATATACAGTCATGTGCAAATGTTTGGGTGCCCCTGGTCAAATGACATGTTTTGTTGATCTAAGTGAAAGTCTACACATCCTCTACAGAGAACTCTCCTGCACATGTTAATACACTGACACTTTATTAGATGAATTTAACATATTGGAAAAAATAAATAAAACAATGTGGCTTGTGCAAAAGTTATGGCACATTTTGTATTATGTTTTATGTTTTCTTCATTGTTTGTTAAACTCAGCAAATTGATGAAGAGCTTTGGTCCAAAATGCATTACTTTTTTATTTTTGGGAGTGGGCTTTATACATACGATGATGAATACCACCTTTATTAGAGAAAAAAAAATGTGTTTTCTGTTAAATGTCAGCTGTTATTCTTTTCAAAAACTGATTACATCCAAAATTGTTGCAAATGGATATACAGTGTTTTGGAGCGAAACTCTTCAAATAGAAACTGAGCACCAAATGCCACATTTCAAGATTCGAGATTCAAGAGTTTTATTGTCTGTGTTTTTTTAAGTGTGTTCTCTGTAGAGGATGTGTTAACTTATTTTCACTTAAATCATCAAAACGTATACTTCGACCAAGGGTGTTCAAACTTTTGCATAAAACTGTATTTTTTGTAAAACAACCTGAGATAGCAATGAATGTGTATAGATTACACTGTCTATAGCTAAATAAACAGCCCTTTTCTCAGTTCTTAAACAGATCAATCTGAAGATCCCCTTTCTGCTCTCCTTCAGTCAACATGCAGATCTTATCTTAATGGATCTCCTATTACATGAAATCACTCATGTCTCGGTGTCTGTCTGTTCTAGTTTTCAAGGGGGAATTCCTTTTTATTTAATTTCTGAATAATGTAATTGCTGAGATGTAATCAGTCACTGAGAGTGGTGATGTGAAATGTGAATTCTAGAAAATCTTACCAAGCCAGAATTACTCTGAATGATTGCGAATATGTTGCCTATTGTGTGACAGTTTTGAAATAAAATTTCAGCCAAAAACTTTTTTTTTCCATGAATTCATGGCGAAGAGGTGTAAGCAAGGAGCTGTAAGACAATGTTCCTCAAAGAAAATATCATTTGGATTTACTGCTGTTTTATTACTGTCAACATTACATAAAATAGCTGTGAAGACACATGTAGGTTCAGTAGTCATTTTAGACCAGGGTTTCTCAACCAGTGGGCCATGAAGCACACTCAGGTGATCTGCAGGCCTGTGCTCAGGGGGAGGCAGGAGTTCGTACTGGACGCAGACATGTGCCAGAGAAGCTCATCAGGGTTCTTTCGCCTACCTTGTTTGGTGATGACCCATCACGTTTTCTTTAGTTCACTCCATTTTCATATGTATAAATATTCCACCCATATTCGGGTCGGCAACAAACAGCTGAATCGTTGACCAGCAAAAACACATGTTGGCCTACTTCCAAAAAAAAACTGCTGTTTGCCACAGCCTTTAGTAGAGGAGTCCACAGGTGTGCCAGGTTGGGTCTAATCAGCCCAAGGGCTTCTGGGAATTGGAGTTCCCTGAACTTGTGGTGCCTCGCCACTGTCGCCCTCTGCTGGTGGCTGGCAACGCAGGCAGGGCCCTTATAGAGGTTTATTTAAAAAGTGATTTTCTTCGCTTTGTATGTATGAACAGGTGGGCCTTGGGGTGGAAAAGGTTGAGAACCACTCTTTTAGACAGCAAGTTGAATGACTATATTTGCGTTATAGACATTGTGACCCCTGGTTCCTGTCACCACCACTGTAAAGAAGTTGGTAAGTTTCTCTACTGTGAACAGTTTCCCATTAAAACACTCTAATAACTTTGCTTACATCTCATTTAATTGTGCAGAATTTGTGAAAAATCTGTAGAAACCCCTTTTAATGTACCCATTTGAAACAAATATAAATCAAAGTTTACCAGAGGAAGTTATGGCTATATTTGAAAGTCAACGTGCACCTCAGTAACTTTGACAAAACTGTGCATGTCAGACATTTTGACATTTGTCTCTCAAGTGAGGTATCTATTGTCATAGTATTAGTCCAACTTCAGTGTTGATTGACACTATCTAGTCTGCAGCTGCCACTCATGTAAAAAGTACAGAAATCATCACTGTGATACTTCTAACAGTAAAGTAAATACCAAGCCTGCACTGGATCTCTAATTAGAGCGCATGGGGAACATGCCTCATCACCTAGAGAGTACGGATTCCCCATTTAGTCGTATCTTCAGGGTGTTCCTAATAACATGTTTCTCTGCTACAAGAGCAGCTAGGGCCCAAGGCACAGCGTACTCCAGTGTCACCAGTCCTATTAGATTATATTTGAAATCTGAGTAGTCCCAGGGACATGCCTCCAACAATCTCAGCACGAACCCCCAGCTAAACTCCCACAGGTATATGAACAAAGTGTAAACAATCACTCGGAGCAGTAGGGGGCAGTGTCTCTGATGCAGCCTTGCACTCATGAACTCCATGAGGAAGATGGCAGAGCTGTAGATGAGGAGTGCCCACAGACTGGTGTAGCCTGGTAGCCGTTGGTCACGAGTGTAGTACCAGTTCCAGGCAGCAGTGAACGCCACTTCACATGCACACCCATGCAGGGCGTAGATATAGAGACGGGCGAGTGGAGAGAGGGACGAGGGGGTGGCCTGATCATAAACATCAGCAGGTGCATTTGTTTCAAACCCAGGATCTGTTTCGAGAAGGAAAGAGAGCCACACTGTTAGCACATACCTACTTATCTTTAGAAACATTCTTTATTGATTATACTGTTCCTGATTAACTACTGGACAAATGTACAGTTAAAGAGGCATTCCAGCCTAAGCTAGCATGTTATTTCATATGTTATGCAGTATTCTGTAGCACTGCATTGCATGCCTCAGCCTCTTTTCTCTCACCACAATACCCAGCATGTGTAGCACAAAATAAGACATACAGCCATTGGGAAACCCCCATGGTAATAAAGATATCCACTAATTTAGAGGCTAATAAAAACAGACGTGTTGTTTGGCTTTCAAGCAATAAGAGCGGCAATCTCGCTTCCTTCTCTATTAGCCAGCAAACAAAAGCAAAAAGCATATCAAAGAGCCTGCCTCATGTATTCACAGCCCCACACACCCCTACACACACACCCCACCATCCTGCCTTCCATCAGCACCACACACTGTCTGGATGTGTGGCAGAGGTTTTGGGGGTCAAAGGAAACACCTCAATCTCCAGGACATCAGAGTCTGTAGCTGAGGAGTGAGAGACATATGGGGGTGTGAAAACATTCACACACAAACATAAAAATGCAAGTAAAAGTCTGGTGTTAACTCTGGACTGACATCATGTTTAGGCTTCTAGGTAAATAACAGGACTTGGTGCTTGTATTTTGCCTTCCGCCCAATGACAGCTGGGATAGGCTCCAGCACCCCACCGCGACCCAGAAGGATAAGCGGTTTAGATGATGGATGGATGGTGCTTGTATTTTTTAGTTTTTTTAGTTAAAAGTTCCTCCACCTTCAAAGTTCATCAACTCAAGGAAAATTAAACATCACACGTTTTTTTTGTATTTCTGATGGAGTGCCCCTTTAAAAATAACAGTTCCTGAATGGTTCTCGGCCTGGTTGTGTGGTTCTAGGGAAACTTTTAATTGGTACAGAAACTTATATTCTTTACACATTAAAAATGCTCTTCACACTCACACATCTCATTTACAGTAATGAAGAAACGTTCACTGAAAGTAATGGAATAATTGTCCTGTTCTTTGTATGATTAATGGTTATCCTGTGTGGGATACATTGAGGGTCCTACTTTGCAAATAGGAAGAAATCAATTTTGTGGGTGTGCTGATTATGTAAGCAGATAAATTATGTAAGTTGGAAGTTTCCTTATGTGCTACACAGAAATGCAAACAACGTTTTCAAAAATATTCAGACACCTCTTCTAATTATTTAATTCTACTTTAAGGCGCACCCACTGCTGACACAGAAGCTAAATTGCACACACACAGCTTGTGTAATCTCCACATAAAAGCACTGACCAAGAGAACTAGATGCTCTGGAGCAGCCGCCTATGAGCCTAAGGTCATGACGCTCAATGCCAAGTGTTGGCTAAAGGGGTATAAAGCACCCCCGGCTTGGGCTGTAAAGCTGTGGAACTGTGTTCTCTGGAGTGATAGAGCTCCATTCAATACCTTTGGGATGAGTTGGAGTGATCCAGAACTGATCATCCAACATCAGTACCTGACCTCACTAATGCTTTTGTGGCTGAATGCAATTAAATCCTCACAGCACTGTTCCAATATCTAAGTAAAGCCTTCCCAGAAGAGTAGAGGCTGTTGCTGCAGCAAAGCGGGGAAAAACTAGACATAAATGTCCAGATTTAGTAAGCAGTGCACTAAAATTTTGTGAGCGTAGATGGCTGCACTCTATGACGTGCTGTTTAAATGATGTCACATAAAGACTGGCTAATTTAAATAGCAGCACTAAAATACAGATCCACATTTCAGCCAGCTGAAAGAAGAGCTGGAACAGTAGCTAGAATTCTGACCGAGGAGGCAAGTCTCAGCTGCCAGAAGCAGTTTGGGAAAACAATAAAATTAAAACTACCTAAAGATCTGTGGATGGACAGATAAATTAAAGATATGGTTGACCATTGGTAAGGAGTCAAGTGTCCTGCATTACAAAGATGATAGGGAGAAACATAAAATATTAATTTTGTATATAATGTTTTACACTGGAACCCCATTGGATGCCAATTATAATAAAAAGGACGGAAAGGCAGGCAAATGAAAAGCAGTAGAAAAGGCCAGAGGACAAGCCCTATTAGTTCCCACAATGCCTCTCTCCAATGATCATACTCATTTGCTTACTCTAACACTTGAATAGTGGTTTTTAAGCAGTTTGTTGTGGCCCATGAGTGGGTTGTGAAGAAGCCACACCAATGCATATAGGGTTTTTATTCCCATGAGAGCAAAGATAAATGAAGAGCTGTTTTGATGAGCTGAGATGGTAACCTCTCCATTTTTGGACCCCATTGGCATGTTGTCAGTATGGCTTTCAGACCAGCTGCACAGAAAACTCAGAAAACTGCTGCATTTGAGAAAACAAAGACCACATTTATTCCCCTCCTCCACAACCACAATGTATACGTAGACACTTTCCAGTTCAGGGCCACTCATTTCTCTTGTAGACCAGTCTTATCTTTGAGTCTGAGTGATTCAGCCAGTTGTCTCTTTCTTTCTGCTCAAGCCATAGCTACGCATGAGAGCTACAAAAGTAGAGGAAGATTCATATTTTGAGGCTCAAAAAAATTAAAAGCACATTGTTATTTATGAAATTCTCCAGATAACGCCAAAGTTAAAATGAATTGTTGAGCTGTTCAGTAACTTCTGGAAGTAAGGGTGATATTTTGATCTATTTCTGGTGCTGCTTCTCATTAGTTATTGTTTTCACACACCTTGTCCCTTCTGTAAACTCAACAAGTGAATAGCGATGCTATGAAAGAGCGTTTTGGTGCATGGGCTAGAGGTGGAATCAATTAACTACCCGTCAGTATTTCTGCACATTGACTAATGCAAGTGACATAAACTATATGGACAAAAGTATTGGGACAGACCTCTTAATCACTGAATTCAAGTGTTTCATTCAGTCCCTTTGCCACAGGTCTATAAAATCAAGTACTTAGCCATGCAGTCTGCCTTTACAAACATTTGTGAAAGAATGGGTCGTTCTAAAGAGCTCACTGAATTTGAGTGTGGTACCGTAATAGGATGCCACCGTTGCAACAAGTCAGCAACATTTCTTCCCTCCCTCATATTCCATGATCAACTATGAGTTGAATTATTGAAAAGAGGAAGCGTTTAGGAATCATAATAACTCAGCCACGAAATGTCAGACCATGTAAAGGTACAGAGTGGGGTCGCCGAGCGCTGAGGAGCATAGTGCATAAAAGTCGCCAGCGCTCTGTTTGGTGGAGGAGGGATAATGCTGTGGGGTTGTTTTTCAGGGGTTGGCCGAGGCCCCTTAGTTCCAGTCAAGGGGAATTTTAATGCTTTAGCATAACAAGACATTCTGGACAATTGTAGCCTCCAACTTTGTAAGAACAGTTTGGGGAAGGCCCAGCATGACTGAGCCCCAGTGCACAAAGCAAGGTCCATAAAGGCCTGGCTGGGTGAGTTTGGTGTGAACAAACTTGAGTGGCCCACACAGAACCCTGACCTCAACCCCATCGAACACCTTTGGGATAACTAGAACATCGTCTAACATCAGTGACTGACCTCACAAATGCTCTTCTGGAGGAATGGGCAGAAATTCCCAGGCATACTCCAAAATCTCGTAGAAAGCTTCCCAGAAGAGTGGAAGCTGTTACAGCTGGAAGGAGGGACTAAATCCATATGCCTATGGATTTAGAATGGGATCCATAAAAGCTCACGTAGGTGTAATGTGTAGGCATCCCAATACTTTTGTCCATATAGTGTATTTCTTCTTTATCCATGACCTAGAACACATGTGTAAAACACAATCCTATCTAGCCTGCAAAAGATTTAAATTTTCTATTAATATTAGCCCATTTCACAATTTGCTGCACTACAGTCCCCCAGCATGCACTGCAACGTAACGTGTGCTCCAACTCTTCCACCCAGGTTACACATCAAGTCTACACAATTCTAAGCAATTCCACACCAGTCATATCACCAAACACACTAGCTGCATTTCAGCTATACTTCTACTAATATGAACACTTAATATCAGCTCAGCAGCTCAGAAATTAGGTTCACGTTTTAATGAACTTGCAGTGAAGAAAGGATGCCTAATTCAAGCAGATAGGTAGGTTTAAAAGAGTGAGCTCCTGGGGACATTTACATTTTGAATATTTCAAGTATTCATGTAATATTTCAAGGTCTACTACAAATGCCTGTATTTTACTGATGTACTGAAGTTTTTGCATATTTAAAAAAAAACAAGGGCCAGTTCAGGTTAAAGCACAACATTAATCACACATGAAATAACATTTATTTCTCTGGCCCACAGATTTGTTGAGATTTTCTAATATTACTTGTTGAGTTTGACACCCCTGGCCTAGAAGGTGCTCAGGCAAATGTTGTTTGTTTTCTTGTTGTGATGTAAAGTCTTCTGTGGTATCTCTAACCCAGAACCTCGAATGAGTCACACTTTGCAAGGCTGCTGGGTAATTCTGGTAATCATGATGCATGCAACCCTGCCAAACTTTGATGTTATACCCTGATATGACATGTTAGGTAATTTCAACCATTCTTTGGTGTATTTAGTGCATGGCACACAATCACGTCTATGTTTTACTGTTTAGAGAAAGTATAATAGAGCCACCTAGGCATAACATGAGGCTTGATGATGTTTAACTTTATCATAAATGTCTGAAATGGGAAGATTTTGAATAGTTTTTATCACAAATTTACAATGATTAGTGTAGCACATTTAGTGAACAGACACATACAGAGAGCCAAATGGTCCAAAAGAAAGAGTCCTATTATCAAAAGAATGGTCATTCATGCATATGACAGCTAAATCTGTCTGAAGACTAGTCTTCCTTGGAGGAAAAAAAATGCACACAGACAATCTAATACTCACTGTGACTCTTTGTGTCCCCCCTACTCACAAGCCGTGGTCTGAGCTCCATCTCTTTTGCTAGTCCAGCTGATCCTTGTGCAACAACTCTTAGGTTTTATACCATTTCCCTGTTGGCCAGTTAGATGGCCTTAGTTTGCCTAAGCTAAACATTAAGCCAGAGCATACTAATGACAGCCCTTCTTCAGTCTAGGGGTTGCCTTAAGGTGGATATAAAGATAAATGATGGCCCAAAACTTACTGCCCTTACACTGTATATATGTATATGTGGGTAACAGTTTACTCAAACTACATAACACTGACATAACCATGCCATTGTTGTAATGACTGATTTGGTTCAGTGATATAACAGTGTCATGTTGTGTGATTGTTATGACAGATGCCATAATGTTTGATGTTTAAGGCTCATTTGTACCACTTAGCTGCCGTGCTATGAAACATTCAGACGTCTGTCATGACTATAATCGATAATGGTAACATGACACTGTTATATCACAGACGTCTAAGTATAAAACAGACGTCTAAAGAATAAAAAAACTCCATTTGACCCACAGAAAGCTACATTTATGCCTTTGATAAATACATGTAACCTGTAATCTGTAATGCTTTAGTGTTCCAACAGTCTAAGACTTGCACAGTTACTACATCTTACTATAGCATTGTTCTATAGATCTGCTTTCTCTTATGCCTTCCGGTCTAGAGCTATGGTTAAAAGAGTTAATAGCTAAGAAACTTCATCTAACCTAAGTAAATGAAGGATCTGGAGAAACAATAACATCTGGAGAAAACCCAGACCTAAATCCAACGACATATGAAAAATGACACAAATATACTTCACAACATACAGATGACACATGGACATCTTATGCAAAACGTAAACAGTATCATGTACAGTAAAAAGTATAATGGCTACTTTTGATAAGGGGAAACCTGTTATGGCGCCATTATTAGACCTCCTCTGTTTACTCTTCTATGCACTGTAATAAAGAAGTGCAATAAATCTTCATTGGGGATCAGAGTCCAGTGCACTTACTCTGCACATACATACAGCTGAGGCCAAACATTAACATGCATATAGGCTAAAAACGTTCAAACCCCTTACCTTTCATGTTAACATACATTTCTTTTGTCAAGTCAATTAGGGTTTATGCTACACAAATGATCTCCCAGGGCTGAGCAAATGTTGGTCAGAAATGTTAAACTGACCTCCAAGAAAACAACAATGGAACTTCTGAAGGAGTTAGAGGCATCAGATACCAAAGTATCTACGTCAATCATTAAGAGAATCCTACATCTCTATAGCATGAAAAGCTGTTGCACAAGGAAGAAGCCTCTACTCCTAGACCAGCTTAAAAAGCCAGACTTTTGAAGTGTGCAGGTGATCAGGACCAGGATTTTACCTTTGAAAGAGTGATCAGTGCTGTGTATGGAGGAAAAATGGCAAGGCCTTTAATCCAAAGAACATTATCCAAACTGTGAAGCATGGGGGTGGCAGCATCATGTGGTGGGGTGTTTGCCAAAAAAGAGGCTGGTGCACTTCAGAAAATGGATGGCATCATGAGGAAGGAGGATTATATTTGAATACTAGAGCAACACCTCATAACATCAGTCTGTTGGGCCCCGCACTATTAGGTGTGTTTTTTGTCAGTTTCTCTTTCAGTTGTTGTAACTCTAGTAATTATATGAGACAGCCACATGTTACATGTTGTTTCATTTCCAGAATACATGTGGTTTTGAAAATGCCCACAGAATTTTGATATTTTTATGAAACTGGACATGTTTTGATCAAATGTTTGATCACATGTTTTACATGTTTTACATATTTTCGACTGTATCTATTCAAAACATCAATTCACAGCTTAGATGTCAACCAGAAAGTTTTAGAATAAAGTGTCTATGAGTTGAAAATATAAGAATTTTGATAATTGTTCATTACATGGCTTATTACTGTGACACAGTATATGAGTAGCATCAGACGGACTTATTTCTCTTGATATTTTCACTTTGAGTTTTTGTTCAGGGCCAATGTGGCTAATATTCCAGCTAATAAAACATGTTTTAGTGCACTGGGTGTTTACTATCAGCTGCTTATAATAACAATTACTCTTATAATAAAGAATCCTTCCAGAAATGATTAGATAAATACTGGCTTATTTAGAAAACACACAATAAAGAAGTCTGTACCATAATATAAACTTGAAATCTATATCAGTCCAGCGGTGTTGGACGAACGGCAATGACTCTGAAGGTGCACGCGCATCTCTTCAGTGCTAAATGCGTGTCACACGTGCACTAACACAGCAGGAAAACTGACGAGATGCGCGCGCAGCTTCAGAGCTGGCTAAGCGGCGGAGGCACTGAGAGGCGTTTTCGGTGGATAATACTGACTGATCTAATCAAATATTTGATTTGAAACACCATACAAATGTCTTAGAAGCCCTAGAAGTAAATAATAGTAGTGGAAATAAAGCAAGATGCGCACGCACACGTGTACGTGCTGGTGAGCAGAGCGTGAGAAAGCGGTTTTTAGCAGAGCGCAATGAGAAATGCAAATATTTGATTTGAAACACTATATACATATTTTAGAAGCCCTATAGTAAATAATAGTACTGGAAATAAAGCAAAATGCAGAGTTTATGAGCACAGAGATTGAGGTTTACTAGAAGAATAAAACATAAACTTTGAAGATGCTTCATCGGACCGCGATGGCACCGCTATTTTTAGAAATGGTAGACTCCACAGTTTCTAAGGATATGCGTAGTGAACTGCTGCATTAAAGCATTCCTGAGTTATAAAGCTGAGAAGACAAGGTGTGATTTGTGACACAAAATCCGTCAACAGCGTTGATAGGTTAAAGGTTAAAACTTGGTCACAGCTGGGTCTTCCAACAGGTCAGTTATCCTGGCCATCACACAGGACTGGCTTGAATCCAATATAAAATTGTGGACTGAACTGAAAAAGCATGTCCAAACAAGGAGGCCCACAAACCTGACTGAGTTACACCACTCCAGGGCAATAAATCGAGTATGTGATTACTCATGGAAGGCTACCCCAAGTGTTTGGTTCAACTTAGGAAATTAAAAGGCAATGCTATAAAATACTAGCAAAGTGTATGTAAACTGTTGACACAATGAAAATCTGAAATAGTACATAAAACCTGGAAGAAATCTGTCACTTTTTTTTTGAAATTGCCTCTTAAATAAAATTCATTCCATAATTGACTTAACACAAAAAACTGTATGGATGCTAAGTGCCCCTAGGTGTGAATGTGTGTGTGAATGTGTATGTCTATGCGTCTGCCCTGTGATGAACTGCCGACCTGTCCAGGGTGTTTCCTGCCTTCCATCCAATAACCGCTGGGCTCTTGCAGACCCCCCCTGCCCCCACCCAGGAGGATAAGTGACTTAAATAATGTGTGTGTGTGTGTGTGTGTGTTGTGTGAAGAACTGTATGGTAACATGAGTGAAGCTGTGAACAATTCTGTGTGTAAATCCTCACACATATATTTTGAGGAGCTCGTCTTTCTCAATTTGCAGAACTGACTTCCTCACCACTGTCAGCAGTGACTTCCTCTTCTTTCTAATGAATTATGCTCAGTGTTATGCATTCTTTTCTCATGAGTGCTTAATTATAGACAGAGTAAACTAGCTAACCGTATTGCTCAAGAACAGAAGAAACTTACATACAGCAACTTTTGTATTTATAGTTAACAATTTTCTGCAGCAGTTAATGAATTTAATTAATGTTAACGGAACGATTTAAACTGAGAAAGGCTGCTGATCCACTTGAGTAAACAAGTTGGAGAAGGACGCTATTGAGCATCATTAACTTTTCGATCATACTACAGCATGTTTACTAAACAGGCTTAGTCAGTGGTGTGTCTTGGTGGTGGTGGTGGTGGTGGTGGGGGTGCTGATGTGGCACTGGCCCTCCATAGGTGCCTCCCAACGGTGACAGATGTCCAGTTTCATTGTTTTAGTGCAATGTTTATTTATTGATTGATTTATTTAATTATTTATTTAGTCTATATTATCTTCTCAGTAATGGCTTTTTCACAGCTACACATAGCATTGAGTTGTCTTCTCACAGTGGAAGGATGGACAGAAAGTACTTGGAGTGATCTATGTTACTCCCCAGCAACCTAAATTTGAAAAGTCAATGCACAAAACAAAACAAAGGAGATTATTGTTTTGATCTCTTTAATTGGACACTGGACAAACAGGACATAGGTGCTTTTTTTTAGCTCTGAAGTTCAGACTGAGCTTTAATATAAAAGTTTTTTTGGTGTTGTTTTTCACAAGAAAGAAGACGTATTTTGCCTCTTGATCGCTTGTTGATAGCCCTTGTATGCAGTGAGCAAAAGAGAACTGTTGGCAAACTTCCGGAGACAGATAAGTATCTCGTTGATTATGTTCTGTTTGGCCGGTTCATCTTTAGCTTCCATCTTCAGGCTTGCAGACTCGTGTCTCTTTAATCTGTGTAGAATTAGAGTTTCATATATTTTGGAGATTAAAATCTGCTTTTTTTTTTTTCTTTTTTGCTCATTTATTATGCTGCATAACAAAGTGTGAAATGAATTCTCATGAAATCTTATCTGAGAATGCGGTTGCAATGGTGTGTCACACATGTCCCAGCTATAACACATCCGGTGCCATATTTCATGTTTATTGGTGGAGGTGGTGGTTGATGTATTTTTCCACTTGAAATTGTTGAAAAGTGGTTAGTTTCATTAAACAAGAACTACTGGACTGTCCACTTGTCCAGTCAGAAACATTTGTGGGCTGGGCTTTTCTATTTTGTTTGATTTATTTAACCTCTTAAAATTCCAGGCTTGTTACATACTAAGGCTTATTATTGAGTAACTACAGGGACTTCTTTTTTAAAGGCCATTTAAGGGGTTAAGAAAATGCTGCATGTGTAAAATCAGGAAGGAAAGCACCAAATGAACTTGGCTGCCACTAAAATATTGTAATGGTGAGGATGTCAGCGGTGTTTACAATTTGCATAATTATGCATATTCACAGATCTTCACTTTCTTAACGAGTGTTTAGGTTTTGGGATGATCCTATGCCATTTTAATAGTTTCTTGGGTATAACAATAAATATTTAACAATTTATTATTCAACAAAGATTTGTGATGTCTGGCAAAGAAGGAAATGTGGGATAACGTAGTGCTTCTCCAGATATCTTTGCTGGCCCTCATCTAGAAGCCCTCACTGCCGCCTCTTTCAACATCCTCTGCCGGGTTTCGCTGCCAGTTTTCGTCACGCTGCTGTTGTCTTCTCTGCACATTCCTCTGCAATCTTTTGCTGGGCTCATCCTTGTAAGCTTTGAGTTCAAAGTATCGTCATTTCCCTCCAGTCCACTGGGGGCGTGATCCCACTTCTGACACCAAATATGCATGGCTTAACAAACCAATAGATTACCACAGATTATTTTTTCATGTTTTAAAGTATAACTTTAGTTGTACTTTAAAGGGGCCTTGAAAACTGATTTGAGAGCCACTGGGTTAGACAACTTTAGTTACTTCAGTTCTGTCTATTGTGAGACTTTCGTGCATGCATAATGCTGCAGTGCACAGAGGACTACAACACTGCGTGTCAGAATTTTCTTCTGCAAACAAGTTTTGCCTGTTGTGTTTTGACACATCAACTGAAACCTTTCTTTTGCTCATTTGTCATGCTGGATAAAAAAGTGTGAAGTGAAGTGTGAAGTGAAAAGTGTGTCATTTGATCTTATCTGAGAATGTGATTCTAATGGTACGTCACACATGTGAAAATTGGTTAGTTTCATTTAACAAGATTCCTTGTTGACAAGTCATTCCACTTGTCCAGTCAGAAATGTTTGTGGGCTGGGCTTTTCTATTTTGTTCCATTTATTTAACCTCTTAAAATTCCAGACTTGCTACATACTAAGGCTTATTATTTAATAATTACAGGGACTTCAGTGCAAACTGGCTGAGCTATTCTTAGATTATATTAGTGTGTAATAATACTTTGGGCCTGCCAGCGGGTCCTGGCCATTTAAGGGGTTAAGAAAATGCTGCATGTGTAAAATCATAAGAGAAAGCACCAAATGAACTCGGCTGCCACTAAAATATTGTAAAATTGTCAGTATTTCAAAATGAAAATGATGTAAGCTGCTGTTTTAGTTCATTTGCTATCATAGCCTAAAAGGAAATAATCTGGACTATCATGAATGAAATGTGACTGCAAGTGAACATTTCTGAAAACATCTGTTGGCTTTTGCCAACTTTCAGTCTAGGATGAGATGCATCAAACTGAAGACACCACTTTTGTTATTTGTGTATAATACTTTATACTTAGTCACATTAAATAGTGACAAATGAGAGAGAAAATAAGAGATAGAAAATCCATGAACCTGAGACTTGAGCAAAAAAGTTTAGGAAGAAGAGAATGCTATGCTCCATCGTTGCTTGAGGTTTGTTACAGTTTTGTTTGAGTCCTTTAATTAGACATGACCTGTAATGACCCCTCTGCTCCCTGTGATGTTATCATGATCAGAGAATGTGTAGTGAAGGGAACTGCCACTCAATAATGTCTGCTGGGTTCGTGAAACACTAGAGGGGCACTTTTGAGTGAGTGCAAAATGACAGGGCTTTTAAGGAGCTTTTGTGCAAATGTTTGTAAATGCTTAAGAATTTTATGTAGAAAAATGCACAGAACAGCCTAGAATGTTTTAACACTGCTGATATATTTACTGCTGGAGCCTTCGAGCTCATGTTATACGACTTTCAAACGTTCCTCGTGTACGTTCATGATGTCAGTGAGAAATAACCAGGCTGGCTTTACTCAGCCAATGAGCTGATCAGCTCGCCAATCAGCACTCAGTAGCAGTAATACTAGAACCCAAAACCTGATTGCTGCAGACAACATGGAAAGATACTGCTAAGTTTTATTAGTTTTCTATGGAATACATCATTCTACTTTCCAAAGTCACAGGAAGATCTCACACTTATTTTTAGAAACATGTTTAAAGTTTTGTTTTTAGCCGTTTAGCTCCATTCACCCGCATTCATTAAGGAAACCACTCACCGGTGCCTTTTAGCATTTTGCAGTCATTTTTGATATAGTGAGAGAAATAAGAAGTGGTCAGGCTCCCCTTAAACTGGCTCTGTCATGATGTAAAAGGAGAGGAAATTTGCCTAATCACTCTACACCCCTCCCCACCCCACAGAGATCTTCACTCTGTTTGAGGAAACTAGTGTCAGACTACACAAACTCTGGACAATTCAGGTAAATAACAAGCATTCTACTCCGGTAAGTTAAAGAAATGAGAAGAAAAACTCATGATACATGATAGATAAGTCTGCTTGGCTGTATGTGAAAATTTTATCTAGGTTTGGAACATGTTCTTGAACTTAATCTGCATACTGTCAACATGTTTGTGCTTTTTCTGTGTGTCCAAATATGATAAGTTTTCTTTTTCCACATAAATTACCTTATTAATTCATGACTACTATTAAAAATGTTTGAGATAACAGCATAAGGAAGTAGGACGTGCATCTTTAGCATATGAAGTGTGACTGAGCAAATGGTTTTGTTGTTTTATCATCATGCTGAAAAGGTTGTTTAACTGATGTCAGTAATGAATATATTCCCTTCATGATAGACGGCTTCTTTTATTAATATCAAACAAAGCATTCATTTCATGAGTTTGATTTAAAACATTGAAAAATATTTAGAGGTGATTTATATTCATTTTTTTTTTCTTTTGATTAGTCTGCATTAGCCATATATGAAATGTTTGGTCACTTTATTGCAGCAGTATTGTTCAACCTTATCAGTATAACTTGGTTATAAGTGTAATCACTTTAGATCCACATGAGATAATAACTAATGCTATCTAACCCACTGGTTCTCAAGCTAGTCTACTGTCTCTCTAAGCTAGAATGACAATATTTTCAATGCCGACATATTAGTGTGCAGTGGAGTGGAAGGAAGGGGCGGGGTTTAGAAACGAGGAAGTCAGCGGTGTTTACAATTTGCATAATTATGCATATCCACAGATCTTCACTTTCTTAATGAGTGGTTGAGTTTAGAGATTCTCCTATACCATTTTTATGGTTTCTAAGGTATAACAATAATACAAAAATATTTAACAATTTATTATACAACATACATTTATGATGTCTGGCAAAGAAGGAGACACAGGAAACATAGTGCTTTCAGGAAAGGCTCTTTTATTGAACAAGCAGCTTTAAAGCACCTCCACCCAGTGCTAGCGGAAGCGGGCAAGAAGCAGGCAGGTCAGCAACAGCCACACATCTCCAGTACATGGTAGGCACTAACACTGCCAACTAACCAAGCACCCTGCACAGAATGACATGACCAACCCTGCTGCCCACATAATGTCTACACAGTCACAACTATCTGTAGAGTGAAGTCTCTCTCACTGCGCTTGTGGTGGTTTCCCTGGAGACTCTGCATGTCCATGACCAAACCATGAGTACTGCCGGTCTTTGTCAGGGTGCTGTTGTCTTCTCTGTAGTCCACTGGGGTCGCAATCCCAATTCTGACACCAAATATGCATGGCTTAACGAACCAATAGTGGAACACCACAGAATATTCTTACATGTTTTCAATTATAACTTTAGCTGTATTTTAAAGGGGCCTTTAAAATTGGCTTGAGAACCACTGAGTTAGACAACTTTAGTTACTTCAGTTCTTTCTATTGTGGCACTTTTGTGCATGCATAATGCCATAGTGCAGAGAGGACCACAATACTGTCTGTCACAGTTCTCTTTCTCAAACAACTTTTGCCTTTTGTGTTTTGACAGCTCAATTGAATCTGTGCTGTAAAAGAAGAAGCCAGATACAGGTTCATGTTTACCACCAAATGCAGTCTTTCTGAAGGCATCAGCTTCAGCTTTTGAAACACCACAATACCATGCAAACCAATAACACTCATCATTGTGGCCAATCTATTCAACACCTGGTGGCCTCTGTCCTTCCTCCTGTGCTCATCGTCGAGCTCCTGCTGGGCCTGCCAGGAAATGTGATGGCAGTGTGGATCTTCATCCGCCACCTTCAGTACTGGAGGCTGCACACTGTGTTTCTCTTAAATCTGGTCCTGGCTGATTTCTTGCTCCTGGTGAGCTTACCTTTCCGCATTGACTACTTTGTCCGAGATGAAAACTGGATGTTTGGTGATGCTTGGTGTCGGATTAACCTCTTCATGCTTGCAGTCAATCGGTCAGCGAGTATTGGCTTCATGACTGCTGTGGCTGTGGATCGATACTTTAAAGTAGTCCATCCACACTGTAAAGTGAACTTCATCGGTTCACAGCAATCTGCAGGGATTGCTTGCTTCATCTGGGCTGTGGTGATCTCACTGCGGATCCCTCTCCTGCTGTCTAGCGATCTCCTGTGGAAGGAGAACAACGATGTCTCTCTCTGTCGGAGCTTTAACAACTACGAGAACCCATCAACAGGCATCTGGATCCACTACACGATGTATATTGGCGAGTTCTTTCTCCCACTAGTGCTGTTCATTTTTTGCTCCATTCGAATCCCCTGCACTCTACGCCGTCACCACATAGACAAGAAGAAAGTGAGACGGGCTACTCGCACTGTCCTGGTAATTGTTGGGGTTTTCATCACCTGCTTCTTTCCTAGCATTGCCACAGGACTAACTGCACTCTGTCTAAAGAATCTGGGGAATGAATACTGCCGTGCTTACAGACTATTTAGTGAACTGTTTAGCCTTTCCATTGGGTTCACATACCTGAACAGTGCCCTGGATCCTCTCATCTACTGCTTCTCTAGCTCCATGTTTAGGAATGAGGTAAAGAGAGCCATCAATTGGTTTGGGACTGGTGGAGCTACAGCTCAGTCACCATGGCACAACAGGAGCACACGTGATGGCTGAGGAGGTGAATTCTCCAGAAAGAAGACTACAGTGCCATCAGAACTGATATTTCACATGCTTTATTTTTCAATTATAATGCATTTAAAATGCTTTGGCCTGATTCATAAAACTAAGTGGTAACAGCGCTATGCCACATACAACGTGTGGCACAGTAATTAAGAGCTATTCATGAAGTCACAGTGGTGGTGATAAGCACAATGGTGTGTTTTTAACGCAGTGGTATTTTCACCAGTGTCCTAGGCAAGAGCCATTCAAACTCCACAGGTCAAGGGGTCAAGCATATTAAAGACCAAGTGAAGCTCCAGTTCGCTGCCAAAATGGGTATAATGAAAGAAACAAAAACAAAGAAACATAGAAAAACTAAATTTTCATAAACAGAGCTACAAATTTTAAAGGACGAAATGCTGGCCAATGATAGTAAATTGTTGGCATAAATTCTTTAACTTTTAATACTGTTGATACTAGAAAAAAATAATATGTATAAACATTTTCATTACATTTTAAAATTGAATTTTTAAAAAACTCTGCAAATTTTAGTTGAACTAGCATGAATTAAAGTTTATTGTGGAATTTTTTTCCCCACACAGTTAAAAATGAAACTGAAATACTGGAATTATAATTACTTCCACAATCCAAATTGTATTATCGTTCATTTCATATTTTTCTTGATCTCAGAAATTCGATTTTCACATGTGAAATTTAAAGTTCAGCTAAGAAATTTTTAATTCTTGATAGTAGGAATGTAATTATTACATATTACATATTACAGTATTACATTTTGGTTTTAACTAGAAAGATTCAGTTGTACAAATATCATTTTGACACGTGTAAATTGAATTCCTTTGTAAAATCCATTGTAAATTGAAAAATTGGATTAAAAGCTAAAACTGCATGGAAATCAATTTGAACATTTCATTAGAATCTCAACATGAGAGTTTACTCAGTTTTGAAGTTAAAGCTACTTTCCATACACAGGAAGGAGATTCACCAAACAGTTGGGCCCAGGAAGAAGAGGCTGTTAAGTACAGATCCAGTTAAACCTTAACAATCTGAAAACCTGCTCGAGCCTGTCTTCCTCCTCAAAGAAAAAAATACCAGGGAAAAATACCACCAGAGTGGTTCAGTTGCTATTTATTGTTGGATTGTGTAGTGTTCTGAATTGGTACTGCTATATTTAAATTAAGGAAACACTTGGCCACACCTTACATCACACCAGTGGTAAAACACACCAGTAATCCTCAATTACAAATAAGTAAAGGTGTTACGCTATTTGCTCTTAACGTCATGGTAAACTGGCACTGCATTTTATGAATCTGGCCCATCGTGTGCAACATTATAACTTACATTTCATAAAACTTACAATTCATAAAACTTCTGCTTAAGAAATGTTACAGTTAATAAAAACGGTAACACTTTCTATGAATGTCACCTTTGTAAGCATCTATAAACACATTCACAACATGTTATAATGCATTTATAAGACATTATAAACATAGCTATACATATTTATAAAAATGCATTATACGTTATAGCCATGTTTATTATGCATTATGAATTGTTAACATAATAATTAACATAATAACATAATAATAACATAATAATAACATAATACATTATAAGTACTGATCATAACAAATTATAACAGCTCATAAGTCATATTTGTCCGCTCTAAGTAAAGTGAAGCCTACTGTACTAAAGCCTCCTCCAGTGTTAAGAGTGAGGCTTCAAGTTGAAGTATTTACTGAAGGATTTACTGAAACACTAAAACATAAACAATAAAGCTCATTACAGGCTTCAAATGTCAGAGTTTAAACTAGTGCTGCCATCAGTGTTTTACCCAATGTGGGAAAGGTAATGTACACCACCGTTAGCTTGGTATTTGTCTTTACTTTATGCTCTCCAAGCTGGGACTGACTTCTTTGGCACTGACATTATAACATGTTATTAGCACTACTTATAATGCATTATATAAACAATTCATAATGTATAATAAACATGGCTATAAAGTGTAATTCAGTGTAATTCTTTTTTTATAAATACTTATAACCATGTTTATAATGCCTTATGAATACATTATAACATGTTATAAATGTGTTTATAGATGCTTACAAATGCGACATTCATAGAAAGTGTTACCATAAAAACAATGAAAGTATGCCAGATTTCCAAAGAGTTGCAATTGTTTTCTTGCCATTAAAGCAGTCAAATAAAGACAGTATGTAAGTATCTTGTTTATGGCATTCTGACATTTGTAAAATTGTAAATAAAGAAAGCAGTGCTGTCTTTCAGCTGTCCCAAACAACTGACAAATGGCTAATGCAATCTTTTTAATATAGGGGTAAGTGCCTTGGCATAAGTGCTAAATGGGTTTGGTATTGTCCTACTTAAATTACATTGTTTTAGCCCATCATGCCCCTCATTCACATTTGGCTTGAGGACTGGCTCTAGAATTCCTTGCATCCTGTTTGAATGGATTTTAAAAGTGTTCAGCTACAATAAACACAGTGCAACTTGTTCCATGCTTATCTGTGTAGACAGATCATTTTGACTTTCATTTCCAGTCAGACGGACATTAAGTACAATTTATTCATTTTTCAGGATATATGTCACTGTGTATGACATTGTTGCTCAATATTCAGATATGCTACTTCTCTTTTAAAGAGAAAGCTTCTCTGAGGTAGCGGCTAAAATCAGAAGTAACATGACCTGTAGCAGTCTGGACAGTTTGGGCTATTACTTAAAATTAAACACTCAAACACCCAAGATAGTGGTTTAAATGCACAGCATTTCAGTTGTCTTGTTAATGAATTATCATATACAAACTGCGATTTCTGTTTTTTGTTTTTTTTTAACGTTAGTAATTGTTTACAAGAAGAGTTTCAATGGCACAGTGTCATGGCTGAACATGCTACATCTACTCCAGGAAAAAAAAATGGTTCATTTTCTTTCAAATATAGACAGTCAGTAAAATTTAAGAATTTATTGGTTCTTTTTTTTATAATTAAAGATAAAGCTGACGTTCCAACTTTACACTGTGTGCCATAATAAGCTCACTGACCCATTTCTAAGGAATTTGTCATTATATGTTCGAAGGAAGCTTAATGTACAAGTAACACGGGTTACGTGGACAATCTGCACTAATTTGCTGTTAAATTTCAATTTAAAACATGGCAGGAAATGACATTTGATTCAATTTATATGGTTTTGAACTTTTTTTTTTCACTTTTTAGGCACAGCCTGCTGTAATTTAGCATCATATACATCGTATTTGAAGCTGTACTTCAAATAAAACACTGCTTGCATCCATGTAGAGGGTTGCATCTACGTTGCTCTTCAGTAATCTGTGCATATAAATGATACATTCAGTAAAACACCTAAAAGGGGAACTCCACCGCTTTTGCTAAATTACTTAATCATTCAGAGTCGTTCGGTGTGATGCACCTTTCTAGAGAATTGCTCAGAATTGTTCAGCATTATAGTACTAGGAACCAGACGTCCGAAGCATTTAATGGCTCTAAAAGCTTCATCCCGTTAAGTTATTAAACAAAATGGTTATGAATGCATTGCTTGATATCTGAGACGTGGTTTTGTGCTAATTTTGTTAGAAAGTATTGGCCTAAAATGTATTTTTAGTATAAACTATTACTCCAGGATTACTTCCGTGTTTCCTCTCAAAACCGCATTCTCAACTGAGATCAATGCGCGCAAAACAGAGAAACCCATAATATACTGTTCTTTGTCTTCTATTTACAAACAAAACCAGAAGACCTGTCCCTAAACACACAGTTACTTTTTTATTAATTCAATTAATTAATTAAAGTCAAGAATATATGGTATGAGATGTTTGTAGGGTTTTGTTTTGTTTTGTTAACTGCATGCTAAATGTAGCTGATAGTCCAACAGAGGCTTTCAGACAGAGAAACAGAGGAACAGAGTTTTGGCTTGAGGTCTGTTCTTGGTTTCATTAGAATGCCAAAGAGCTGGCAAAGGCTTTCTGCTCTGCTGTCGTCATCAAGCCATCAGAGAAGAGGAAAACAGTTTAAGAGTGATCTCTCTGCTGCGGTTCCCCCAGAGGTGCTGATGATATGCAAGCTAGGGAGACTTAATTCACTAATTCAACTGTTCATCGCTCATAAGTTACGGCTGTTTATCTCATAACAAGTGGCTTGTTTTGGTTGTCTGAGTTTTTCTTTTCTTTAGGTTATTAACATGAACAAACAAACGGATAAACAGGAATAAACCTCACATGTTACATTATGTTTCTATGTTGAATTAAGACTCGCAGTCAAATATAGTTTGAATAGCAGAACGTGCCTGAGGAAACTGAATTAGATAACTAGGACAGGAGGTGTGGTATGATGGCAGGCAGAAAGATCAGATTCCACATACAGATATGCAGAACATGGTTGTGCAGCTATTGATGGTATCATAGCTTTTTCGTGGTACAGATAACATGCATAACATGAGCCAACTGCAGAGACGATGATACACAGTCAGTTGAGCCACTTTCAGTTCAAAGAATTTCAACAGAAAAGAGGAAGAGGAATACATTCTGTTGAGCCACTTATAATTGTGGAAATGTCATCCAGTAATAACAATACTCACTGTGGCCTGTCACCTCAAATTCTGGTGGCCTCCATCCTGCATCCTGTGCTCATCGTCGAGCTCCTGCTGGGCCTGCCAGGGAACCTCATGGCACTGTGGGTCTTCTGCCGCCACCTTCAGTCCTGGACACCCAATGTTGTGTTTCTCTTGAACTTGGTCTTGGCTGACTTTCTGCTTCTGGTGAGCTTACCTTTCCGAATTATCTACCTTCAGAAAGGGGAAGACTGGGTGTTTGGTGATGCTTGGTGTCGGATTAACCTCTTCATGCTTGCGGTCAATCGGTCAGCGAGTATCGGCTTCATGACTGCTGTGGCTGTGGATCGATACTTTAAAGTAGTCCATCCACACCATACAGTGAACTTCATCAGTTCACAGCAGGCTGCAGGGATTGCATGCTTCATCTGGGCTGTGGTGGTCTCACTGCGGTTCCCTCTGCTGCTGACAAACAGTCTCCTAAGCAAGAAAAACAATGTCTCTATCTGTCGGAGTTTCAGGTCCTACAAGCAGCCACCATTGGGCATTTGGCTCCACTTCATGGTGTATATTGGTGAGTTCTTCCTTCTACTGGTGGTCTTAGTTTTTTGCTCTGTTCGAATCATCTGCAGCCTACGCCATCGACAGATGAACAAGAAGAAGGTGAAGCGGGCTATATGCACTGTCCTGGTAATTGCTGGGGTTTTCCTCACCTGCTTCTTTCCTAGCATTGCCACAGGACTAACTGTACTCTATCTAAAGAAACTGGGGAATGAATACTGCCGTGCTTACAGACTATGTAGTGAACTGTTCGGCCTGTCCATCGGGTTCACATATCTGAACAGTGCCCTGGATCCTCTCATCTACTGCTTCTCTAGCTCCATGTTTAGGAATGAGGTAAAGAGAGCCATCAATTGGTTTGGACTGGTGGAGCTACAGCTCAGTCACCATGGCACAACAGTGAGCACACGTGATAGCTGAGGAGGTGAATTCTCCAGAAAGAAGACTACAGTGCCATCAGAACTGGCCTCAGATATTTGCTTTAATGTTCAATTACAACTTCACTCCATAAAACTTGGCAGTAACTTGAAGTTGAATCAAGAAAATATTGTTGATAATAGAAAAAATGAGATATATATAAACATTTCCATAACATTTTAAAACTCAACTTTTAAAAAATCCACTAACTCTTAGTTGAACTAACATGAATTAAAGTTTAATATGTGGTATTTTTTCCACATTTTTGTTTTCTTACCATGAAAGCAGCCAAATAAATGGACTGTACATAAATATCTTGGTTATAGCATTCTGATGTTTGTAAAGTGGTAAATAAAACACAGTAGTGCTGTTTTGCAGCTGTCCCGAAACAACAAATGGCTAATGCACGCTTTTAAATCTAGGCGTAAGTGCCTTGGCATAAGTGCTAAATAGGTCCTACTTAAATTAGGTTTAAATTAAATTAGTTTTAACCCATCATGCTCCTCTTTCACGTTTGGCTCGAGGATTGAATTCCTTCCCTCCTGTTTGAACAGATTTTAAATGTGTTAAGCTACAGTACACACAGTGTAATTGGCTCCATGCTTATCTGTGTAGATAGATTATTTTTGACTTTAATTTCCAGTCAGACTGACATTAAAAACAAGCTAGTAATTTTTCAGGATATATGTGTGACTAGATTAGATATAAGATAAACCACTTGCATCAGGAAGGGGAAAGTCGAAGGAAAATAAACGAAAACAAGAATGTTTAAAGCTGGAGTTCATAGAATGATTAAAAGATACAAAGAAAATGGGAACAAAACAAATAAATAAATAAAAAAAATAAAAATAAACAAAGAAGTTGCTGGTGCTGAGAACAATGGACTGTCCACCCCAGAGTCCAGAGCTCAACATCACTGAAAGTGTTTGGGATTACTCGGATCGTGAGAAGCAGAAAATGCAACCAACTTCTAAGACGAACTTTGGAGGTGTGGAAAATATCCCTGCAGATTTCTTTGAAAAGTTGACAGCAAGTATCCTGAAGAGAATGGACGCTGTAGAAGGTGGACACATCGAATACTGACGATGTTTAAAGTTAGTTGTTGACGCTTCTGTGTAATTTCCTGTTAATATGTTTTCTGCTTTTTTCCTGACACTGAAAAAATGAATAACTTCTGCTTTATGGGCACTGTGCCTGAACATGAAATACATTAAATGTGTTCTCTGCCTTTTGCACAGTACTGTATATGACATTGTTGCTCAAGGTTCAGATATGTATGCTACTTCTCATTTTAAGAGATAGCTTCCATAAGCTAGTGGCTAAAATCCGAAGTCACATGGCTTATAGCAGTTGGGACAGTTTGGGCTATTATTTAAAAAGAAACACACAAAAACTCATCATAGTGGTCTAAACACACAGCATTCCAGTTGTGTTCTTAAGAAATTATCATATACAAACCATAATTGTTGTTTTTTGTTTGTTTGTTTGTTTGTTTTAATATTAGCAATTATTTACAAAATGTGTTTAAATGGTACAGCGTCATGGCTGAACATACTACATCTACTCCAGGAAAAATGAAATGGTTAATTTTGTTTCAAATATAGACAACAAACAACACGTCTGAATTCATTCATTGATTCATTTTTTTGTCTGTTACTACAGACAATGCTGACATTCCTACTTTACACTGTGAGCCATAATAAGCTCACTGACTCATTTTTAATGCATTTGTCATTAAATGTTCGAAGGAAGCCTAATGTGTATCAGCAACACGGGTTACGTGAAAACAAGTGTTGAGTACAATTTACTCCACTTTGCTGTTCAACTTCAATTTAAAGCATGACAGGAAATGACATTTGATTCACTTTGTATGGTTTTTGTGTGTTTTTCACATTTTAATCACGCTATAATTTATATCATAAACTCAATATCTGAAGTTGTACTTCAAATAAAAGACTGATTGCAGATTTTAAATTCCACCTCATTGGCATTATTTTTGCAAATTTTGATGTTCATGTTGTTTTTCATGTTGCATCTACTTTGCTCTTCAGTAATCTGTGCACATAAATGATTCAGTTGCTATTTGGCCAAAATGTCAATTTACAGAAATATCCACATCTTTGTAAAAATAAACAAACAAGTGAATACATAAACAACGAAATAAACTTTGTAGTTGAAATGTGTTAGTTGTTCTGAAAAAAAGTGTTTCCTGTTTGTGGGCTTATTAATTATTAAAATTAATATATTTTATTAAATAAAACAACAAATAGGCTTGTTAGAAACACAAATGGGCTTAACAGGTACTAGAGGCCCATTTAAGTGCAGTCCAGGTTTTTTATTTTGTTTCTGTTCTTCATGTCATCATTTCAACAAATCATATAAAACTTGCCTGATTACGTTAAAGGACAGATTAATCTTTCATTCCATTGTAAGATACATCACTAAAATCTGAATATGTTTTCCCTGCTGTCCCAAAATTCAGTGAATTAATTAAAGTCAAGAATATATGGTTTGAACTGTGTGTGGGGTTTTGTTTAGTTAACTGCTTCTTAAATGTAGCTGATATTACAACAGAGGCATTTAGAGAGAAAAACAGAGGAACAGAGTTTTGGCTTGAGGTCGGTTCTTAGTTTTGTTAGTGCCAAAGAGCTGGCAAAGGCTTTTTGCTCTACTGTCGTTATCAGGCCATCAGAGAAGAGGAAAACAGTTTAAGACTGATCTCTCTGCTGCAGTTCCCACAGAGGTGCTGATGATATGCAAGCTAAGGAGACTTAATTCACCCTACAGCAACTCTGAAAAAGCTTTGGGTTCCAATAACTGTTCATCTCTCGTAAGTTATGGCTATCTACAATCTCATAACAAGTGGCTTTTTTATATGTTATTAACATGAACAAACATATGAATATTTATGAATAAACCTCACATAATACATTATGTTTCTATGTTGAATTAAGATTTGCTGTCAAATTTATTTTGAATAGGAGAACGTGCCTGAGGAGACTGAATTAGATGACTAGGACAGGAGGTGGGGGTACTGTGTATGCTGTTTTCTGTTAGGTGCAATAGGGGCAGGCAGAAAGATCAGACTCCACATATAGATTTGCATGGTCAGCTTTTGAAGGTATCATAGCTTTTTCGTAGTAGAGATAACGTGCCTAACATGAGCTGACTGCAGAGAGTGGTGAAGATACACAGTCAGTTGAACCACTTTCAGTTCAAAGAATGAGAAAATCTTTGCTTTAATTTCTGGATTAATGATAAATTAAATGTTTCACAAAGTCTAGATGTCTTCAGTATTTTGCTTTATTCATTTTAGTGCATGTTTTATGTTTCAACAGAAAAGAAGAAAAAGAAATACATGCTGTTGAACTACTTATAGTTGTGGAAATGTCATCCGATTATAATAACTCTCACTGTGGCCTGTCACCTCAAAGCCTGGTGTCCTCTATCCTGCCTCCTGTGCTCATCGTCGAGCTCCTGCTGGGCCTGCCAGGGAACCTGATGGCACTGTGGGTCTTCTGCCGCCACCTTCAGTCGTGGACACCCAATGTTGTGTTTCTCTTGAACTTGGTCTTGGCTGACTTTCTGCTCCTGGTGAGCTTACCTTTCCGAATTATCTACCTTCAGAAAGGGGAAGACTGGGTGTTTGGTGATGCTTGGTGTCGGATTAAACTCTTCATGGTTGCAGTCAACCGGTCAGCGAGTATCGGCTTCATGACTGCTGTGGCTGTGGATCGATACTTTAAAGTAGTCCATCCACACCATAAAGTGAACTTCATCGGTTCATTGCAGGCTACAGGGATTGCTTGTTTCATCTGGGCTGTGGTGTTTTCACTGCGGCTCCCTCTTCTGCTGACTAGCGATCTCCTAACCGAGAACAACAACGTCTCTATCTGTCGGAGCTTCAGCTCCTACAAGGAGCCACCATTGGGCATTTGGCTCCACTACATGGTGTATATTGGTGAGTTTTTCCTCCCTTTAGCGCTTTTAGTTTTTTGCTCTGTTCGAATCGCCTGCACTCTACGTCGTCGACAGATGGACAAGAAAAAAGTGAGACGGGCTACTCGCACTGTCCTGGTAATTGTTGGGGTTTTCCTCACCTGCTTCTTTCCTAGCATTGCCACAGGACTAACTACACTCTGTCTAAAGAAACTGGGGAATGAATACTGCCGTGCTTACAGACTATGTAGTGAATTGTTCGGCCTGTCCATCGGGTTCACATACCTGAACAGTGCCCTGGATCCTCTCATCTACTGCTTCTCTAGCTCCATGTTTAGGGATGAGGTAAAGAGAGCCATCAATTGGTTTGGACTGGTGGAACTACAGCTCAGTCACCATGGCACGAGGAGGTGAATTCTCCAGAAAGACAGTGCCATCAGAATTGCCCCTAGATATATGCTTTATTTTTTAATTCTAACACTTTGGGCCAGATTCATAATTCATTCATTTATGTTACACCACACAAAATGCCCATCACGCTATAAAAGAGCTATTCATAAAGTCACCATGGTGTTGATTAGAGTACTGGTGTCTTTTCAACCCCTTAATGTTTCAGGCTTAGTACATATACTTATTATTCATTAACTACAGGGACTTCAATGCAAACTAATGGAGTTTTTCTAAGGTCATAGAAGTGTATAATAAAACTTTAGGCCTGCCGATGGGCCCATGGCTTGGAAAGGGGTTAAAACTTTGGTATTTTCACCAGTGTCCTCGGCAAGAGCCAATCAAATTCCACATGCAAATGAGGTCAAGCATTATAAAGACCCACCGGGTGGAGCTCTGGTTGCCTGCCAAAATGAATATGAAAGAAAGGAACAAAAAATGAAGAGACAAAGAAGAGCAAAAGTCTTGGAAACAGAGCTAAACATTTTAAAGGAAGTGCTGGCAAATAATAATAAATTGTTTGGCAAAAATCCTTTAACTTTCGATCAAGAAACTACATGACATGTATATAAATATTTCCATTATATTTTAAAACTCAACTTTAAAAAAATCAACCAACTCTTAGTTGAAGTAACATGAATTAAAGTTTAATATGTGGTATTTTTCCCACATTTAAAAATGAAATTGAAAAGAACTGAAGTTGTGTTTTCTTTGGCAAGTCAATAAAATAAAGTAAAAACTTTGAAGTCTAGCCATAAGTGCCTTGGCATAAGTGCTAAATAGGCACGGTATTGTTCTACTTAAGTTACACTGTTTTAGCCCATCATGCTCCTCATTCACATTTGGCTCGAGGATTGGCTCTAGAATTCCTTGCATCCTGTTTGAATGGATTTTAAATATGTTCAGCTACAGTACAGGCAATGTAATTGGCTCCATGCTTATCTGTGTATATAGATCATCTTTGGCTTTAATTTCCAGTCAGACGGACATTAAAAACAAGTTAGTCATTTTTCAGGATATATGTGTGATTAGATTAGATATGAGATAAACCACTTGCATCAGGAAGGGGAAAGTCGAAGGAAAACAAGTAAAAACAGGACTTTTCAAAACTGGAGTTCATAAAATGATTAAAAGATACAGAGAAAATGGGAATCTTGCGTTGTCAAGAAACCATTACTGAGAAAAGGAAATAAACAAAACAAAACAAATAATTAAATTAAAGAAAATAAACAAAGAAGTTGCTGGTTTTCTAAGAACAATGCACTGTCCACCCCAGAGTCCAGAGCTCAACTTCATTGAATGTCTTTGGGATTGTCTGGATTGTGAGAAGCAGAAAAAGCAACCAACTTCTAAGACTGAACTTTGGAGGTGTGGAAAGTATCCCTATAGTTTTCTTTGAAAAGCTGACAGCAAGTATCCTGAAGAGAATGGACGCTGTAGAAGGTGGACACATCGAATACTGACAATGTTTAAAGTTAGTTGTTGACGCTTCTGTGTAATTTCCTGTTAATATGTTTTCTGCTTTTTTCCTGACACTGAAAAAATGAATAACTTCTGCTTTATGGGCACTGTGCCTGAACATGAAATACATTAAATGTGTTCTCTGCCTTTTGCACAGTACTGTATATGACATTGTTGCTCAAGGTTCAGATATGTATGCTACTTCTCATTTTAAGAGATAGCTTGCATAAGCTAGTGGCTAAAATCCAAAGTCACATGGCTTATAGCAGTTGGGACAGTTTGGGCTATTATTTAAAAAGAAACACACAAAAACTCATCATAGTGGTCTAAACACACAGCATTCCAGTTGTGTTCTTAAGAAATGATCATATACAAACTATAATTTTTGTTTGTTTGTTTTTTTAAATATTAGCAATTATTTACAAAATGTGTTTAAATGGTACAGCGTCATGGCTGAACATACTACATCTACTCCAGGAAAAATGAAATGGTTGATTTTGTTTCTAATATAGACAACAAACAACACGTCTGAATTCATTCATTGATTCATTTTTTTGTCTGTTACTACAGACAATGCTGACATTCCTACTTTACACTGTGAGCCATAATAAGCTCACTGACTCATTTTTAATGCATTTGTCATTAACTGTTCGAAGGAAGCCTAATGTGTATCAGCAACACGGGTTACGTGAAAACAAGTGTTGAGTACAATTTACTCCACTTTGCTGTTCAACTTCAATTTAAAGCATGACAGGAAATGACATTTGATTCACTTTCTATGGTTTTTGAGTGTTTTTCACATTTTAATTACAGCCTGCTATAATTTAGTTGTACTTCTAATAAAACACTGTTTGTAGATTTTAATTTCCACCTCATTAGATTATCTTTGTGCAAAATTTTGAATTGTGTTGTGCCTCTATGTAATTGTTGTTTTTGTCATGTTGCATCTACTTTGCTCTTCAGTAATCTGTGCACATAAATGACTCAGTTGCTATTTGGCCAAAATGTCAATTTACAGAAATATCCACATCTTTGTAAAAATAAACAAACAAGTGAATACATAAACAATGAAATAAACTTTGTAGTTGAAATGTGTTAGTTGTTCTGAAAAAAGTATTTCCTGTTTGTGGGCTTATTAATTATTAAAATTAATATATTTTATTAAATAAAACAACAAATAGGCTTGTTAGAAACACAAATGGGCTTAACAGGTACTAGAGGCCCATTTAAGTGCAGTCCAGGTTTTTAATTTTGTTTCTGTTCTTCATGTCATCATTTCAACAAATCATATAAAACTTGCCTGATTACGTTAAAGGACAGATTAATCTTTCATTCCATTGTAAGATACATCACTAAAATCTGAATATGTTTTTCTCTACTGTCCCAAAATTCAATGAATTAATTAAAGTCAAGAATATATGGTTTGAACTGTGTGTGGGGTTTTGTTTAGTTAACTGCTTCTTAAATGTAGCTGATATTACAACAGAGGCATTTAGAAAGAAAAACAGAGGAACAGAGTTTTGGCTTGAGGTTAGTCATTGGTTTTGTTAGACTGCAAAGGCTTTCCGCTCTACTGTCGTCATCAAGTCATCAGAGAACAGGAAAACAGTTTAAGAGTGATCTCTCTGCTGCGGTTCCCGCAGAGGTGCTGATGATATGCAAGCTAAGGAGACTTAATTCACCCTACAGCAACTCTGAAAAAGCTTTGGGTTCCAGTAACTGTTCATCTCTCGTAAGTTATGGCTATCTACAATTTCATAACAAGTGGCTTTTTTATTTGTTATTACCACGAAAAAAAATGAATACACAGGAACCTCACATGTTACATTATGTTTCTATGCTGAATTAAAAATATAGTTTGTTTGTAAATCAGAATAGCAGAACATACCTGAGGAGACTTAGAATTAGAATGACTAGGACAGGAGGTGGGGGTACTGCGTACACTGTTTTCTGTTTGGTATGATGGCAGGCAGAAAGATCAGATTCCACATGTAGACATGCAGAACATGGTGATGCAGCTTTTGATGGTATCATATCTTTTTCGTGGTAGGGATAACGTGCCTAACATGAGCTGACTGCAGAGAGTGGTGAAGATACACAGTCAGTTGAACCACTTTCCATTCAAGAAATGAGAAATTTTTGCTTTAATTTCTGGATTACTGATTAATTCAGTTTTTTCACAAAGTCTAGATGTCTTCAGTACTCTGCTTTACTCAATTTAAGTACATGTTTTATGTTTCAACAGAAAAAAGGAAGAGGAATACATGTTGTTGAACTGCTTATAGTTGTGAAAATGTCATCCAGTTATAATAACACTCACTGTGGCCTGTCACCTCAAAGCCTGGTGTCCTCTATCCTGCCTCCTGTGCTCATCGTCGAGCTCCTGCTGGGCCTGCCATGGAACCTGCTAGCATTCTGTGTCTTCTGCCGCCACCTTCAGTCCTGGACACCTAATGTTGTGTTTCTCTTGAACTTGGTCTTGGCTGACTTTCTGCTCCTGGTGAGCTTACCTTTCCGAATTAACTACCTTCAGAAAGGGGAAGACTGGGTGTTTGGTGATGCTTGGTGTCGGATTAACCTCTTCATGCTTGCTGCCAACCGGTCAGCAAGTATCGGCTTCATGACTGCTGTGGCTGTGGATCGATACTTTAAAGTAGTCCATCCTCACCATACAGTGAACTTCATCAGTTCACAGCAAGCTGCAGGGATTGCTTGCTTCATCTGGGCTGTGGTGTTTTCACTGCGGCTCCCTCTTCTGCTGACTGACGACCTCCTGATGAAGCATGACAATCGCTCGTACTGTCGGAGCTTCAACCCCTATAAGGATCCAAAACCGGGGATCATGCTCCACTATACAGTGTACTTAGCCGAGTTCTTTCTCTCTCTGATGGTCCTGCTTTTCTGCTCCTTCAGAATCTGCTGTATCTTACATCGCCGTCATATAGACAAAAAGAAAAATGTGCGTCAGGCTGTAAGGATTGTTTCGGTAATCAATGTGGTCTTTATCATATGCTTCTGCCCTGGTGTTGCTACTGGGCTGACTGCACTCTATATGAAGAAACTGGGGGAGGAGCACTGTTATATCTTCAAACAAAGTGGTGAGTTGTTTGTAATGGCCATTGGGTTCACATACCTGAATAGCGTGCTGGACCCGGTAATCTATGGATTCTGCAGCTCTATGTTCCGGGATGCTGTGAAGAAAATGATCAATCGGTTTGGAGTGGTGGAACTAATGCTCAGTCACCGTGGCAACACAGCGAATGGAGATAAAGGCTAAAGGCAAGAGGACACTGATGGGACAAACACAAACAAACAGAAATGTTTGCTTTGCTTCGTGTTTGGCTGTAGAAAGACTCTAGGATATTCTCTGCCCATTCGCTCAAGTTCATTTCACTTGTATTCTTTCCAGAACATTTTATGTACAACTGCAAACATTAGAGTGTTTGTGTTTGTCCTGTCAGTGAACTCTTTAAGAAGGTTTGATTCTTGAAGAAACATTATATTCAACGATATTCCCTGGATGATGCAAAAAATTATTTAAATAAAAGCACATAATTTCACAGACCTACCCGAAAAGTAGACTCACAGTTGAACTATATGTAAATATATATATATATATATATATATGTATATATATATATATGTATATATATATATATATGTATATATATATATATGTATGTATATATATATATATATATATATATATATATATATATATACTGACCTAGATGGCAAGAGGATAGTGGGCCACTGTTGGCTCGCTGAGGGCAAAGCTGGTGGTCCACTGGCTCTTTTTTCTTAGCATTTTCTGGGCAGCCAACTGGTTTTAAAGCAGAGTATTAGACAAAATTCCACTTTTCATAGCTGATTTTTCATTCACAGTCCAATGTATGTATTTTTCATTGCTTACTGTACTGGGCATGGCTAATTTAGCCTTGTTGGTCCTTCTGTTTGGTAACTGTACTAGGCATAGCCATTAAAAGGGCTTGTGCTAATTTGACTAGTTTAGTCTTGTTGGTCCTTCTGTTTGATAACTGTACCAGGCATATCTACTAAAAGGGCTTGGCTAATTTGGCTGATTTTGCCTTGTTGCTCTATCTGTTTGGCAGTTAACTGTGCCAGGCTTAGCTACTAAAGAGGCTTGGATAATTTGGCTAATTTAGCCTTGTTGGTCCTTCTGTTTGGTAGTTAACTGTACTAGGCGTGGCTACAAAAAGGGCTTGGCTAATTTGGCTAATTTAGCCTTGTTGGTCCATCCATTTGGTAGTTAACTGTACTAGGTGTAGCTCCTAAAGGGGCTTAGCTAATTTGACTACTTTAGTCTTGTTGGTCTATCTGCTTGGTAGTTTACTGTACTAGACATAGCTACTAAAAAGGCTTGTCTAATATGGCTAATTTAGACTTGTTGGTTAGTTTGCTATACTAGGCGTAGCCATTAAAAAGGCCTGGCACTATTTTACACACAGTAAACCATTTGACCCAATGTGCTCCTTCATTTGACTCCAGGGTATCTAAAGACTAATCCCATCCTTATGATTAGCAGTTCTTTTATCAATAGTTCTGTTAAGTTCAGATGAGAATATATGTTTTCCTTGTAAACTCTTTACAGTATCAGTCCCTAATCCTTTTGCATTTTACTTTTACAACATAATTTGCAGTACTGTAGTTTGATGGAGAGTTATGAAAACTAGCTGCCATGCTATTCTCTTCTGCATTTTCTCTCTGGAAGAAATAAATGCAGCTTTGCTAGCTTATGTATGAGTTCATATGAATGTATATGATATTTGTATTATGTTGTTTTCTGTTGAATGAAGATGAACGATAATAAAGTTGAAGTTACTCCACTCTTTTAAAGACTGAATTGATGGCTGAGTGTTCAGTGGCAGCACGGGCAAGATTCGTGGTGTTGCATCACAGCTATTATTTGCTCACAGGCAAAAACCAAGGGAAGTCCGGTGCTATATTATCACACTGAAGTTATCTAATGTGTCAGTTTTCTATTTTATATGTTCTTAAGAAGAAAACACTTCACCACAGCGTAAAGTGAGTCGTAACTTAACCACCAGGGTCTCAACAGAACGATACAGTTATTGTGAAAAACTGTGCTGTTCTATGTCATGTAATGCTTTTAAACCAGATTGTGCCATCAGAAATGACTGTTACATAATATAGGACTTCATGCTCTAATTCTTGTCTTGTTCTGTCACTTTTTGAAATGAACTTTTTAGACGCTGTATCCTTTCCATTCACATGTCATATATACAGTATAATCCAATAGTCAGTGTTATTTCAATCATTTCTGTTCCACATTTTTGAGTACAGGTTACAGGTCAGAGAAAAAAAATGTTGTCAGACACAGAACAGAGAAACTCATAAGTGAAGCTGCGTATGAGTCAGAAATGCAGTCATGCTGGTTTTGAGTTACGTAAACTTTTTGTTCTGTGAATTGGTTATAGAAAAAAGTTCAAAAACATGAGATTCTGGAAGGGAGGTAGTGTTTCACGTTACTGCAATTTCATGTATTTTACGGTTTTCTTAGTTTTAACTGACATTACAATGGGAATCAGAGAAAGAAAGAAAGTGAGAGAGAGAGAGAGAGAGAGAGAGAGAGAGAGAGAGAGAGAGAGAGAGAGAGAGAAAGACAGTGTAGTCTTAGCTACAGGTCTTTCTTTCATTCTTGAAGTCATTCTTGATAGTGACCCACTGAACTGGCTAAGTCTTCATGCTCCGCTGTGATATCAGGTCATAAGACAGGAGCACAGTTTTTAAGGGTTATCTCACTGCTATGATTCCCTCAGAAAGTGTTGATGGCTCTCGGGCTAAGGAGACGTATTTTAACCTACACTGACTCTGCAAAACCTTAACTCCTAACAACCGCTCGTGTCTGGTAAGTGTTACAAAACTTTCCCATGAGAAGGTATTTTACTCTTTGAATGCAGAACCTTTCAATAATGATTATTATTTGCTAATATCTTGTGGGGATGTCAGCTTTTCAGTGGATGGTAAGGGACAGAGGTACTAAATTGTCACCAGTGTGGTCCCCTTTAGGGTATGTCTACAGTGCCTTTAGTTTGGGAACATAACTGCACCGCATTCCACTGCAATTATTTTTTTTTAAGTTGCTTTGACTCCAGGCTTTTTATATAAGCTTTCTATTTTAAATCATTTGCTAATGAAAAGTACAAAATATGTATCTTTCCTCTGGGATAGCAAAAAAGTGTACTTTTAAAACCCATTTAAGGTATACACTTAGATCTTTGAGAGTACATTTTCAGGTTTGTACCTTGGTGAAGGAAAATGTACCTGTGCTGCACTCTGTAATCAGATAATGCTCTGTTGATTTAACTATGTTAAGGTTCAAGACCATGTATTAGGTAGCTGATCTCAGATCAGTAAATTAAGCAGTGCACTATTTTGATGGCCTGCTGCCGATGCTTTATAGACGCTCACTTTGTCTTTAACTGACTTACTGTCTGACTTCACTTAAATATCTCTGAAATTAGCCTGAACGTTTCTCTAACCTTAAAGCTGAGCTTAACATCAACTGTAAACTTAAACCTAATCCTGGTCTAACCCTAATAATCAACTGAGTTCCTTCAGATAAGTAGTTACCAGTTTGAGCATTGGCAGATTACACTGTAGGAAACAATTAAAGAAAAATGTGACCAATTAGGCTGATTATCTTAATTGCAATCAAGCTTGATATTATTTTAGGACAGGATGGAAAAGAGTCTGGATTTGAGTTTCCGTCAGGACTTCTAAGTTCACTCTCTAGGTTTGGCACATTTAAGAATGATTTACATTGTTTGGTTGTACACCTACAATCACATCATGCATGCCTGTTTGGTCTTCAGAGTTTTTGTATAGGTTATTAATATGGAAAAAACAAATGAATACATGTAAAATTACACTTTGCATTATGTTTCTGTGTTGAATTAAAGCATGTCTAAAATGGGTACAAACCAGAGTACTAGGACATGCCTGGGCAAGTTGATGACAAAAATCAGATGTGTACGAAGAACATTCCTGGGCAGAGTGCTTTTAATAATAAAGGCAGCAGGCTTTGGCAAAGCTAGAATTCCATTTCAGAAGGTGCTGGTTGTCTGGGGGAGGCAGCTAACAAGCATTATGTCTCAAAGACATTAGTGTAGTTAGGATGACAACCACCATTGTTGCATTTCATTTAATCTAATTCATTTGAAAATGAAACCCCATCATTGCCATAATAAAACGACATTTTAAAAATGTAAAAAAAATATAATTCATTAACTTGCTTTCAACAATCTACTATAACAACTGTAACGAGTTAACTAGAGGCCTACCTGTTCAAAGTATCTGATTACATTATTAAGAAGACCATGTCGCCATGTTGGCAGGCAAGCTGTAACTCTAGAGAGCTTGACTCATCACTGTTACAGCAACTAACCCTGCAGGTGGATAAGAACCAAGCAAAATAGACCAGAATGACCACAAAAAAAGATTAAAAGATATGTGGACACTTTAGATGCACCTACTACACTAATGAGTGCACTTCTAATGGTGTATGATCTGGTAGTGTCAGCTTAGCTAGACTGGTGGACTGGATCCGTATGGTCTGTATTTCTCCAAAGTTCTTTACATTCCGGTGCATGACATTTTATAAAAACTGATAAAAGTGGCTGCTAAAACTCTTTAGCAGGCTCTTAAAACTACTTAAGAGCCAAAGTTCTTAAATAATAAACTCATACATAGCTTTATATGAAGCTCAAGTCAGCTTGTCAATCACCAGCTTCTCATTTGAATTTTCTGTTCCACCTTAAGTGGTGTTGCAATTACACTGCCTTAAACATAGAAGGTGCCTTAAACATAGAATGAATGACAAAAGTTGGTGAACATGAAGCCAACATCAGCTTTCCTCAATAAATACATCAATTTACCTCAATAAATGCATCCTTAATCAATAAATACCTCAAACTTTCATTTAGAGATGAACTAGCTAATGAGCAGCACAGCAGAGCTAACGCTACTTCACCTACCACATTAATGAGTGCACTTCTAATGGTGTATGCTCTGTTTTTTGCATACTGTTTAGTGTGCAAGTATGTGGTTTGGGATGCGAAACTAATAATGCAGCAGGACATTTCAGCTGTTTAGATTTTAGCTTTGGTTTGTGATCATTACAGCAACAAGTCAGTGCACTCAAATGCATTGATTTATATGCTTTAAACATTTAAAAAGTGTTTTAAAAGGGACATGTTTTACCCTCTTTGCTGGGTCTGTTATGGCTTTGTTATCTCATTAAAAACAGCCATAACACTGCTGAATAAAGCTGCCTACCAAAATGGTGTCACCGCAATTGTGATGTTCTCAGAATACTACTAATTGCAATATGAACCATAGACTAGAACTGTGGCCACCAACCCTTGGAGATCCTGCAGAGTTTAGTCCCACCACCTTTCTCCTAACACTAAAGCTGGGCCTACACTACATGATTTTTTGCCCGATTTGCCCCTTTCAACAAATTTTCCCAAACTGAAGGGATTTTCCAGGTCGGGAGCTCGATCGTAAGCGAGTGATGGCGCAGATGATCTGGTAGATCTGGAAACGAGTGAATCTTTAGCCCTCTGATTGAACTCTGACGTGATCGGAGACCCTCTGATATTATCAAACATGTTTGATGTTTATGACTCAAAATGTTCATGAGTCCTGCGGTGTGAGAAGGTCAACGAGTGAATCAAACAACAGCCAATCAGAGAGCTAGAAGAGTAGACAAAAAAGTGAAGAGACGCTCATGCACACTACCTGAACAATGGAGCGTGGAGACAGAGGAGCTGCATGTAAAACACAGGCAGATAAGATATCATGTTTATAACGTTTGGATGCAGATGTCAAAGCACTTTCTTTATAATTTCAGCTCAGCTGCCAGTTTATAGTGAAATATTTCTCCAGCTCAGTGTGATATCAATGCTTCTCACCACATATTAATCCCCAGTTTGCACTTTCGCTGTGCATAAAAGCACAAACAGGTCAGGTCCACTAAGTTTAGCTTTCTTTGTCATGTGATTTCGGAAGAGACCTGAGATTTTGAGTTCTTATTCACAGTCGAGGCTCGTTATGTGTGTTATACTCTCTCTTTGCCTTGTAATCTGGTGTGAGTGACAAAAAGACCAGAAATTCTGTGACAAACAGATGTTAAGTTTGTGATGCTCTCCGTTTTAGAAATCTGTTAAGATTCTAAAAGTTGTGTAGTGTAAGCCCAGCCTAATGCATCTGATCCAGCCAATCCAGAGCTGCTGAAGAAGTGAATTTGCTGAAGAAGGTGTGGCAGATTGTATTGAAAACTACACTCTCCAGTTAGGTACCTCTAGGGCAAGGATTGGTGGCCAAGGATTGGGGGCTAAATATTTGTCTGAACCTGATGAGACCTGACAATTCCCCTCAGGTTTACCAGGGTTCAGACATCATTTCTCAAATATGTTTTTGTGCTCCAGTCAGGTTCAAGTATTAATGCTTTATACATTTTATTTTGTTCTAACAGACAACCAGAAATATTTTTTTGTGTCATGCCATCCAATGAAACTGAAACTCACTGTGGCCTGTCACCTCAAACCCTGGTGGCCTCCATCCTCCCTCCTGTGCTTATCATCGAGCTCCTGCTGGGCCTGCCAGGGAACCTGATGGCACTCTGGGTCTTCTGCCGCCATCTTCAGTCCTGGAAGCCCAATGTTGTGTTTCTCTTCAACCTCACTCTGGCTGATTTTCTGCTGCTGGTGAGCTTACCTTTCCGAATTAACAACCTTCTGCATAAGGAACACTGGCTGTTTGGTGATGCTTGGTGTCGGATTAACCTCTTCATGCTTGCAGCCAATCGATCAGCAAGCATTGCCTTTATGACTGCTGTGGCTGTGAATCGATACTTTAAAGTAGTCCATCTACACCATACAGTGAACTTTATCAGCTCACGGCAAGCTACAGGGATTGCTTGCTTCATCTGGGCTGTGGTGATCTCACTGCGGCTCCCTCTGCTGACTAATGACCTCCTGATTAAGGAGCCCAATGCATCTTTCTGTCGGAGCTTCAACCCTTATAAGGATCCAAAACTGGGGATCAAGCTTCACTACATAGTGTACATATCTGAGTTTTTCTTCTCTCTGATGGTCCTGCTGTTCTGCTCCCTCAGAATCTGCTGGACCTTACATCGCAGCCAGACGACCAACATGCCGGTAATGCGTCGGGCTATTAGGATTATTCTGGTAATTGTTGGGATTTTCATGATATGCTTCTGCCCTGGTGTTGTTACTGGACTAACTGCACTCTATTTGAAGACGCTGGGGAAGGAGTATTGTGAAGCCTTCAAGCTAAATGGTCAGTTATTTGTTTTGTCCCTTGGATTCACCTACCTGAATAGTGTACTGGACCCGATGATCTATGGATTTTGCAGCTCCATGTTCCGGGATGCCTTAAAGCATTCAATTAATCAACTTGGAGTGGTAAAGCTAGCACTGAGGAGCCGTGCCACTGGGTAGCCATGCCATCACTTCGAAAATGATCACCCCAGCTCATCCCACAGTTCTTTGTGATGACTTGTCAGAATGTTGTTTAGCACCAAAACAACAATATATCCATTCGTCTGTTTGTGTCCTCCTTTCCTCTTAACCCATAAATATTATACTCAGAAACAAGGACATATAAGCTGTGTCCTAATTGAGGGGCTGTGTCCTTCGAAGGCTGCATGGACTCGCGAAGGCTGAACTGAAATGAGACGGTCTGCAGATTAAATGTTTTATAGTTCTTTAAAGATAGAGCCAAAAGTTTTTTAGTTTTTTTCATTTATTAGAGCTGGAAATGCTTTTCTCTGTCTGCTCCTTGCTCCCTAAACAAAACACATCGGGTTTTTTTTTTTTAATATTTGTATCATTAGCTATTCGACTCAGTTCAAACCCAGTACTTACCTATGTTCTCAAATCGTTGCCAGCATGCAAAAAACCTCAGGCTATGTTGGCTGGCAAAGGATCCACCTGTTGGATCCTTCGTTGCCATGGAAAAGAAGGACACATTGCACGGCTGCATACAAAAGAGCCTTCGAAATGGGACAGTCATGCTGCTGTGACACAATCATCCTTCAAATGCAGCCTCCGAAGGATGCAGCCCCTGAATTGGGACGCAGCTACTGTGTCATTGATGAAAAGCACCAAAAGTGCTAATAGTGCCCTGTGGTGGAGAATCTTCAGCCTGTTAAATGTGAGTGAGTGTGAGTGACAAGCCAGGTCCATGAGGTGCTTTGCATCTAAAAGAGTCCTGTCCCGATACCAAACAAGAGCAAAACAGACAGGAGTGGGCAGGAAACCCACCAAGAAGCTTTATGTGGGGGCTTCCAGTGTCGTAACAGGCAAGGGCCAAAGCACAGGCTGGCAAGTAAACACCGGGGTCATCTATAATCGAACAACCAGAGAAATACAAGAGGTCAAAAGTCTGGACATACTGGAAGACAAAAAATGAGGACAATGGTTCAGAAATCCAAAGACATATTGAAAAGATTTTGCAAGCTGCAAACAGAAAGCAAGAGGTATACATACAATTAAACAGTTAATAAGCCCAGAACAATTATACAGTTAATGAACCCAGAACTGGCAGCAGGTGAGTAGCCAGAGGCTGGGCGGAGCTGGACCTGGTGAGAGTCATGCAAAATAGGAGAGTGCATGTGACAGAGAGGAGTGGAGAATGCTTTTGAAGTACATCCTTCGTAGAAGAGTATAACACCTCACAGGGACATCACACATGATTGTTGCAGTTTCTATGAAAAATGGCACCACTAAGCAGCGTCTGCAACCTACAGAAACATGAATGTGCCATTTCTGAATGTTAGATTGTATGAAATTGATTTGTTGTCACTGCTCATAATGCAACATCACTTTTGTCTACTTCAGTGTCTACATATGTAGAATGTGACACCTTGTGTGTTGATGGATTTAGATTTCTGCATGATTGATGTAGCTAAATTATTAGCAGTTTGTATTTTATTGCAGGTGATGCAGATCTGGAGATGGAGCAACATGACAGCAACCTGTTTTTTTTCCCTCAGTGACTTTGTCTGCATCCAAAACCACATAACATACTATACCAATGTTTCCCAACTTGGTCCACAGGGTCCTTCATCCTTATGTGCCGTGAGTTATGTCGGAGCACAACTGTGAGGCCCTGAAGACCAAGTTGGGAAACACTGAAGTGACTGTCACTAAAACTACATATCAACTATACATCATTTGTTGTAAAAAAAAAATGAATTCTGAATACCACAGTGAAACAACACTCCCTTTGATGTATTTGCTTTGTAATTTTGAGCAAATTTGGTAATTTGTCAAAATAAGTACTAAAAAGTTAGATTTTTTTTTATAATAAAATAGTTATGAAAATAAGTAACTGCTTTGTGAGATCAAAAGCTGACGGACATCTGTTGTTCATTGTCCAGCTAGTAGTGCATAGGACAGCTAACATTCCCACACCAGAACATACCAAGCAAAATAACTGCTGGTCAAGCAGAATCAAAGCTAGCTTGGCCTCAGACATCAAGCCCTTCAAATCTGTCACTTCTGGCTTCTCCAGAGATAAAAAGCCACAGTAATGTTTACTCTTATGTTTCCTGTTTCTCCATCTCTCCATCTCATTCCTTTCTGGACAGTTTCTTTGAACTGTACTGAACCTAAACATATGGTAAAACATCAGCCTTCCTTAATATTGCTTCCATAAGATATCTTAATAACTCCACCTAGTCATGTCTAGGTGTAATCCTAGGTATATAATCCTACATATGTCTCCTACTTAATCAGGGATGGAAAAACTTGAGTAATTGTACTTGATTGTTGTATTTAAGTATTATTTTGGAAGATTTTTACTAATGATGCACCAAAATGACAATCCTTGGCTGATACTGCGCAGAAAATCTGGGACACACAAGGCCAAAAACAGAAATTGAAAACCAATAAAGCTGACAATGAATAAAAACAGTTTACGTAAACTCATTACACTGATGAAGTTATGGGTTGTGTTGAGAAACTCATAAAATCATTACAGCATGAAGGCAACAGTACAGAACAGTTGGTCATTAAACTTCCATTATTTTTTAGTTATACTTTATACTTTCGCTGTTGTTTGTGATTTTGCCATTTCAACAACCTGTGGCTACAGATGGCATTAAAGTGCTAACAATGACTTTCATTTCTGCTTCTGCTGTAGTTCACTTGTCTAATGTTTTAATGTAGAAACCATAAAATAGTTCCATACGGCTGACTTTTTCACTGTGCTGCACGATCAGATTTTTGTTACCCTTAAATTTTCTTGTTACATCTTAGATTTTGACACTGTGTAGTCGGCCTATTTAATCATAGTCATTTTCTGTTAAAATGTTCAGCCATTTTTTTCTCTTTTCAGTGGCCAAAATTTCAGTGCATCTCTAATTTATCCTTTATTAATCCTTGACTAATATTGAAATTCCATACTTGTACTTTGACATATCCAAGAAAACATGTCAGTGCTTTGCAGAGAGGTCTCCTGATTGCTTTATGCAACCAGACCATGATGAATTCTTGGTAACACTTTACTGTAGGGTACTGTTCATAAGGCTACATGACACCTGCATAAGCTTGTCATGACAACTGACATAATCTTACACAAATGTTTATGAATGCTTATTCCAGTAGGCGTGATTGGGTTTAAAATTACATTTGCCAATTTTGATCAAAGTTGGCTAAAATCACCTTTATGACAGATGACGAATATTGGAATAAGCATTTCTAAACATTTATGTAGGGTTGTGTCAGTTGTCATGACAAGCTTATGTAGGTGTCATGTAGCTTTATGAACAGTACCCTACAGTAAAGTGTTAACGAATTTTTTAGTTGTTCATTAGAGATTAGACGCAGGACAAGCACAGATATTTGCTTTAGCCTCAAAACAAAAGACTAAACCCATTCTCTAACACAACTAAAATTACGAAACAATGAATAAAGTGTGAGACTTTGGCCCAATCCCATTTCACCCCTTGCCCCTACCACTTAGCCCTTAGCCCTGCATTTTGAGCGTTCACGTCTAGGGGTAGGGTGTCCATGCTTAAAAATTACAATAAACAATGTTTAGTCTTAGATTAATGTCGTTTCAATTTATTATGGTCCTTAATAACAAGCATTAAAAAATCAGTAATAGTATACTAACGTCGTGGCAGGGAATTTTTTTGTTCTTAAATAGTCCAGCAGTTCTGACGCCTGAAGCGCCAGAATGTAACTGCTGCACCATTTAAGGTGGAACAGGAAAATTCGAAAAAGATGCTGGCAAATAGCTGATTTCAGCTTCATATCACTGAAGAATTAGGGCTGGGCGATAATAAATAATTGTCCCCCTCTTTGAAAGCATATAATTCCCTAAATTGAACTAAAGCCCAGCAGCGATGTTGCTGAACTTTACGCTCCTCTGCTATCACTGCAGACTGGCAAGGTCACCTACAGAGCACCGCTAGTAGCCTGTTAATGAAGTAATGCTCTTTTTTATTTGAGGGTTGTAGCGTTTTATAGGGGAAGATTTCAACCACTCAACTCAGTTCAACTCAGTTCCAAGGGGCAAGTTGACACTTAAAAACAAGGGGTAGGGGTAAAAATAAGAAATGGGATTGGGCCTTTGAGTAGGGCTGCTAATAGCTGGGACTTCACTAATGTACTAATTCCAGGCTGTTCCAAAGGAAGTCTGGAAGCTACACAGCTAAAAGCTTATCATTTAGTCAGATAGTTACTCTTCAACTATGTGGTAGGATTTTGTTAACCGTTAAAGAAAAATCTATAGAAAGTCAATGAGCGTGAGTACTCTCTTTGTCTAGATGTTTATAGATAAAAGGAAACATTATCTTTCTCAAGCTTTCCACACTCACTGGGGTTCATATAAAGAATAGGAACATTTCAAGTTTCAAGTGACCCTTATTAGTCCCACAACTGGGAAATTTCACTTCTGCATTTTAACCCATCCGTGCAGTGAAAACACCCACATACACACAAGTGAATGCACACACACTAGGGAGCAGTGAGCACACCTGCCTGGAGCGGTGGGCAGCCCTATCAATGGCGCCCAGGGAGCAGTTGGGGGTTGGGTGCCATGCTCATGGGCATTTCAGTCACGTACTGTCGGCTCGGGAACAAACCGATGACCTTCTGGTCACAGGGCTGATTCCCTAACCTCCAGCCCAGCCTGTGAAAACAAATATTCCTAGTCAAAAGCTTTAAACTACAAGCTTACTTAACACCCTTCACCGAAGCAGTTAAATATGTATACTGTTCATTGAAGAAAAGTTTACTGAAGGCATAGAACTATTGCATATAATGTAATCTTAAGTGCCTACTTTATTATAAATATTATATTCATATTGCAAAATGAATATGTAAGTGACATTTAATTTGCTCTCAATCGTTTATCATTACCTCAGGAAACTTTACTCCTTAAAAGGCCAGGACCCACCAACAAGCCCACAGTTTTATTACAGACTTCTAGAACCCGCAAATAGCTCAGCCAGTTTGGACTAAAGTCCCTGTAGTCACTGAATAATAAGCCTTAGTATGTAATAAGCCTGGGATTTTAAGAGGTTAAAGGAGCATTCTGGTCTAAAACTAGCATTTAATATGTTATTTGTTATACCCAAAACCCATGTTATTGTGTCTACCCCAAAACACTTCCTCCCACCTTCAAGATACATCATCAGAAGGGGGATTTCCTAGTCTTTAAACTGAAATACCTCACTTTCCAGAATACTGTGGCCATGCCGTAGGAGCTAATTAGGCATGTTTACAACAGATGTAGTGATGGGTGCATTTCTTTTTTAAAGTGACTCTTTAAGATCCTGTTCATGATGTTAGAAAATTAACTTATTTTACAGTTGGCACTGAAAAACAAAAGCACTTGGTAATGATGTTCTTATCTCACTTTAAAGATTATTGGGCATTTATGTTCTGTACAATGTGCATTCTGCACACTACTCTCTGTATCTCTCACTACCTCACACACACACACACACACACACACACTGTTTCACACTAGCTGTTATGAGTCCAGATTGTAGACAATTGGGCTCCAATCATGCTGTCATGGCTGTAACAGCAAGCAGCAGAGAGAGCAGAGGAGGTTTCTCTTAACTGCCACTGGGGATGATTGCACTTCAAAAGCTCCCACACAACCTCAGCCAGCCTGCTCATCTGCCGGATTCCTGCGATGTATTTAGTAAGTAGCAAAAAGTAAGCCGATCTCAAAATACTGCAGTCTCTCACTGTTAAAATGTGGAACATCTGTGGGAAATATTCATGTTGGAATCAAGTAGATTTTGCAGACAAGACATCAGGAATCACAAATATATGCACACACACAAATGCTGGTAAAGATTAAAGATTGGTAAGTAAAAATGTCCATTAAACCATAATTTAAAGATCATTTTTGCCCAGCAGGTGGTCCTAGAAAAGAATTACAACTGAAAATGTGGAGGTGCTTAGTAGTGATATGTACACAATTTTCAAGGCTGCACCCAGCACGTTTCAATCACCCACTGGGCAGCATCAATTGACTGATTGCAAAATAATGATTGACACACCTCTCACCCAATCATGTCTTACTGCCATTGCCGTTCTCACTGCAGGTTTGGTTTGAGTTCTGTTGAGTTGTCTTGACAGACAAAGTACTTTGTCTGTCAAGACAGCGCAACAGAACTCAAGCCAAACCTGCAGTGAGAACGGTGATGGCAGTAAATCAGAATTATTCGAGTAAGAAATGGTGACAAGGTGTTAAGGAGGAATGAATTGTAACCGTGTTCTCCCTCTCATGCGGAGGCTCTCTGGAGGCGCAACACTCCTGAAAGGGATAGACTTAATGTGTAAATAAGTTGTTGTTGTTAGCATGATAATGTGTGTGGGTTGTTGGAAACTTGTTATGTTAGGCTGTGGGACAGTTGGAGTGGGTCTGTGTGTCACCATGGACTGGACTTGTTGATGACCTGCCCTGCTTTCCCGGCCATTCAGAAACCCTGAGCGGCAGTTCACCCCTGCTGCTCAATAAAAGACCATTTGCTTGGAGTGCAGTGTCTTATGCTACGCTGACCCTGCAGTGTACATATATAGTGTGTAAATAAAATGATTCATGTGTGTAACTTTTGTTTATGTTGAAGTTATGGGTTGTTTCAAGAAGACGCTTTGTGGTTTGTAGTCTTACTGAGATGAATTTATTCTGTTGTAGAAAAGGGCTTGTACTTCTGCTGCTTCTGCTACTACTACACTTATTTGGGTAGTTTGAAGAACAAACTGTTGGTGAACCAGATTATTCTTAATAAGGATTATGCTGAATTGCACATGGACTAAGGGGGAATCTCATCATACCATCTACACTGGATTCTCTAGACTCCAAAAAGCCGGTGAGATTGTTCCCATTGGACCCTTTGAGACAGAGACTTTTTTATTGGCTGTATTTATTGTGTATGTTTTTCACTGGTGGTTGTATAATTATTTGGTGACATCTGCTACCTCCCACACCGCTACACTATAGTGCCTGGGGCATGCTATCCTGATCATCTGGAAGATGGAGCTGTTTTTATTTAATTCCTAAAGCTGAAAAAGTTTAAATTATGCAAATTATGTTAAAATATGTATTAAACTATGTGAAGACCACACTCACAGCTCAGGCTATAAGGTAAGCTATTTTATCTGGGTTACTGTATTTGCTAAAAAATATTTTACTGTGATGTTTAACAATAAATGATATTACAGAAAAATGTTAAAGGGCCCATACAGTGCAAAACCAAATTTCCCTTGCTTATAATGTAAAACTAATACATTGTTAAAGTTCCAAGAAGTACTGTTTACCCTCCCAATCCATTCTGCCCATATATGGAAACTAAGCTGGCGAAACGGCACATAGTAAATTCACTGTTTCTGTCATTTGTCATATGTTTTTCACAAAAATCAAAACATTTAATTATATCCACCTACGTAGCCAACAGCATTTTAGCTCCGCCCATCCACACTGAAGTTATAAAGAGTGTGTCAGTATGGACTGCTTTTTGAATGAG